CAGGAAGAAAAAAGTTTTAAAACAAAAAAGAAATATTGAAGATGTACCTTTTAATCCCAAATCGACAAACACTAGACGGAAAGCGGTAGGAGGAGGAACATTGAAGGCCAAGCTTGAAGAGGAAATACGAACCCTAATCCTAGATCGATGAACGGAGGTGACCCCTAGATCTGAGGCAGAGAGGGGAATGATTGATGGAGTTTTGGGGAAAGATTACCCCCATCGTGTCCCAAGTTGATGGCTGGGGCAAAATAGAGGGCTTGGACGAAGTTTTCTTTATATAGGTGGGACATTTTTAGGGTAGGTTGGGTAATTGTCTCACAATAGTTCAAAAAAATGAATAACACTAAAAAGTAAAATTCAAGTCTCATCGTCCAAACTAATAACACTATAAAGTAAAGTCCCAGTCTCATTATTCCAATGAATAACACTATACAGTAATATCCTAACAATTACCCCCATTTATCCCCCAAATATCCCAATTAATAACACCCCCCGATACAGGTGTATCTTCTCTTCGGAACTTAGTGATCCTCATGGGAGCTTGAGGATAGATGATTCTCATGATAGCATGAGAATAGAGGTGTCAAACAGTACAGGGGAATGCAGGTGGAAGCGTGGAACGAGACGACGAGCAACAGATTCGAAGAATCCAGTTTTCAGCTTGTGAGTCGACTCATACATGTACATGAGTCGACTCATTAGGTTGAGTCAACTCATGCCTGTCATGAGTCGACCCACGAAACCCAGTCGTTTTGTCAAAAGTTTCTGATCAGTCGACTCATTAGTTATGAGTCGACTCATACGAGGTCATGAGTCGACTCATATGCAGTTTTGAGTCGACTCATCGAAGGTTTCCTAGTTTGGTTGGGTTTCTATTCACACGAATTCCTGTTGGTTTTGGGCTTGGTTATTTACCAGATTGCCATCCACGTTTGTACACCTATATAAAGGGTTGTTTAGGGTTTCTAAACATCAGCTTAGATCATCTTAGAGATCCCACGTTTGTACACCTATATAAAGGGTTGTTTAGGGTTTCTAAACATCAGCTTAGATCATCTTAGAGATCAGAGAGGTAATTAAGAGAGATTCTAATCTTTGTATTAGGGTTTAGGAAGGATTGAGAGGTTGTTCTCGATTCTAGTGAGATTGTGAGGGAGGGATTTGTAATAATTGATTCTTCATAATCTAGAGAAGGTTCTTCGCCATACTGAATTGTTCTTGTGTTTTAGTTGTCTTCTTCTCAACCCACATTTTGGTAATTTCGCGACCAAAGGGTGCTCGCACGGCGACTCGTATCACCCACACACACATACACACAAAAAAAAAAAAGAGGAGCATGTTTGGCAAAAGATTATGTTTGGTAAGAATTTATTTATTACTTATTTTTTAAAATAGGGGGAAATTGGATTTAAATGACATAGAATAGTGACCTTGATTCTGTTGGGGATTATGAATGAAGCAACAAAAAAAAGAGAACACAACAGATTTTTTTGCATGGTTATGCTCAATCACTCAAGACCTCTGAGAGATCCTCTCTCTCACCAAGAGGATGTCTTTATGAATACTAGCTCATTCCTTTTTATACCTTCCAATGGGAAGGTGAAGAGACAAACCATTAATGCACGCACCATTTCATCTAAGCTTCCACCTTTCACATTCTCAAATGTTGACTAGCCTTTCAATCTTTCTTTGTCAGCACTTGCACTCTTTTCCAGCTCATTCGATGTAGAGTGTTCAATGCCGTTATCGGGCCTTTCCTCAGCATGGACTTGTTAACTGGGTTTTGGACTAGCATTATGACACCTAGGCCTCCTCAGTTGGGCTATGTGATTGAAGAGCTTTCCCTTCAGCAATGACTTTGCCCTCGATAGAAAATCAAGGATATCTTCCTATGCTCCTCACTCTCGTTAATGTAGGCTGCAGCCTTGTCATGCTTGTTCAATACCATTATAGCTTATCGTTCCTTGGTATTCCTTGAGTTTGGATATAAGGAATACTAAAGATGTGTACTCACCTCCTTGAATAACTATTTTTAGGCCTTTACTCCTACATGATAGCACATACTATTAGACTGCTAGCTTATGGGTTTGCGGATGGCCTACAGTTGTCTGGCAATATGGCTTCAATTTCAACCACGCAATGTTCAATTTACTGAATTTGATCAATATGTTTTTACTTAGTATAACAGTTCATTCCCTTTTTAGTCTTATGCCTATTAATCTTTTGTAAGCTGATGTATTAATCTCAATTTAACATTGCTTTTTTAAATAGTTGAAGCTCACTGTGCTGGTCATGTAGGTTAGTAGGAGAAGAGATCTTAAAATTGGAAACTTAGGCAGATTTTAGCCAAAAGACTCATTTGCCTTGTTTATGAAGGTTTATGAAAATAATTTAGGGAAAATTAGATTTCTGTTGGAAAGTTTTGGTTTCAGCTGTTTTTGAAATCTCTCAAGAGAAAAGATGTTGGGAAGCTAGGCTTCAAAATTCTGAACACAAAGTATTTGCAGAAATTGTCCTTGTCGGCTTCTTTAGTGTTGAAAACCGTGCCCGTAAAAAATATTGGATTTTGAAAATTTTCAAGATAAACTAGAGTTTAGAAAGATAGTAAATCAGAGGAGTTGGAAGATATGGTTGTCATCTTGTACATCCTGTTAATTGTGTATACATGGAAAAAAGGACATGTTGGAAAGGGTCGAAGAGAGTAAATTTATCAAAAATATATGTTACTCAGGTCTTTCTATAACTTATTTAGCAAGTTCACATGTTAATGAAACTAATATTTGGTTTTATGGTTAAGTTTCGGTAGGAACTCCATGAGTTCCATTAGAATTTGTTGAGCTGTGACCTATGGTTCTCATTTTTGTCTTTTAATTTGAAAAGATCTTGCTCTTTAATGGAAAGATTCTTCTGATATTTACTCAATAATAGAGCTTTCTGTTCTGGGTTTCTGATGCAGAGTGGAGGATGGTTCTTGTTGATCTGAGGAATCATGGAAATTCAGCTGGAATAAAAGGGCTGGATCCTCCTAGTGACATGGTGAATGCAGCTAGAGATCTAGCTAATCTGGTAAAGTCTCAAGGATGGCAGTGGCCAGATGTCGTCATTGGTCATTCCATGGGGGGAAAGGTCGCCTTGGATTATGCTGCAAGCTGTGCTCGTGGTGACTACGGGGAATCTGCTGTGCTTCCCAAACAGGTATTACGCATGATTAGCTGCTTTTTAACTTTAAAGTTTGCACAGTTTATCAACATAATTTTCGTCATTTTGCAAAATTGAAGTGAGTTCTAGAGTAGCTGCACATAATTAGAGTATATAAACTGTATGTAAATGTACCACAAGGCTTATGCTAATACGCTTGGTTATATGGCTCACGTCGTTCTTTCACCTTATGAAGGTGAGCTACTTTTTGGGAATTATATACCACACAATTAGTTTTGTCTTTTGTACGTTCGCAAGATAATATGCCACTGAACCATAATATCTACTTAAGTTAGTACTTTAATACATCAAGAGTCCAATTTGCCAATTCATGAATCTGGATAGAGATATTAAATCTTTTAACATAATTTTTTTAGTCTTTATACTACTAGTTTTCTGGAAAATTTTAGAGGTTTTCGTCTATTGCCTGAGGTTAACTGTATTACTAGTTGGCTAGAGTTTCATTTATTGCCATTTGCCAATGAGCCTTAGTTATCTATATGGAACCTGTATTTTGCCTAAATTTTCTTTTGATTGGGATACAGGAGTTGATGTCAAGTTGACACCGTTGTGTAAATTCGTAGTCGTTTCAATCTGCTTGTTTAAGAGTTACTTTCCATGGCCAAGTCCATCATCTCATGGTTGATCGGTCATTTTAATTGTCATAAATGTTATTATTACTAACTTGGGTCATAGAATGGTTTAAATGGACATGGCCATGATAATATGGTCGAAGTACCAAAAGTGTCTAGTTACTTTACATAGGTTTTTAGAATTGCTTACTATTGATCACTTTGAAGTTGGTCCCATTAAGTTGGCTGACATTAAATTAAACAAGTTTCTAGGTTGATTTGCAAACTCAATATTATATAATACTATTATAATTTCATTTGCAGCGGGCCAAGAGTTTTCCCCCTTTTTCTTCTTTCTTTTTACTCTCGAAGCTCTTTTTTCACCCCCTCCCTTCAAACTTGAAAGCTCCTAGTATGCAGTGAATATGATTGTTTTAATTGGCTACTGCCCCCCTTGTTTGAACGAATAGACGTCTACTTTAATCATACTGAACTTTTGAACATCCATTGTGTGTATACTCTGCTAAGTCATTATATCATTCTTTAAAGGCCAGTAATTATATGAAACCTAGGTTATTCTAGTTCTTCACATAGGTAAATGAGAAAAACTTTTAGCATACGTATTCATGACTGTGTATCTATGTCAGAGAAGTTCATATGTATTCATGAGCATGTGTATCTATGTCAGAGAAGTTTGCCAATTACTTATCAATGTCGTCGTGGTTATTCATAAAGGAGTCTATCCGTTAATTATTGAGTATATTCAAAATATAAAATATACATGAGCATGTGTATCTATGTCAGAGAAGTTTTGTCAATTACTTATCATGTTTATTCGTATCTGAGTAGATCTTTTGTTCATTGTTGATTCAGAACAGCTTTGGGTGTTGGACTCTGTTCCTGGAGAAGTGAACTCTGATGATAGTGATGGAGAAGTGGAGAAAGTTTTGCGAACCCTTAACAGTTTGCCTTCATCACTTCCATCTAGGAAGTACGCTCTCTTTCTCAAGCACTCAACAGCTTTCATACTCTCCCTTACACTCTTTGCAGTTTGCTTCCACACTTAGATGCGTGAGCATGCACAAAATCACACAGCATAATCTTTTAGATTTTTAAATTTTAGCATATTGCATTTGAAGTTTAAGAAGATTTTTGCTGATGGTAACGTAACATAAGTTTAAAGTATTCACTATGCTATTTGAGATCAACAAACATGTGATGCCTACATAATATTTTGTTTCCATTTTTTATTAGATTAAGGTCCTATGTTTAATAATGTAAAAGAAAAGATAATGCAACAACATTCTCTGTTTTCTGTACTTTCTGTAAGTAGCTCTCTAAAGTGTTGCAAACGATAGTTTCTTCGGTGGAAAGTTTCTGGGTGAAATCTCAATTGCACGCTAACTATTGACTATTGCTAACTTCTAGTTATTTCATCGTGCTTTCTTTATGTACTAACATGTTGAGGAGACTATGGGCTCTGATAAGAGTTTCAATGTTACAGTTCCTTCTTGCTTCATGGGACTACTTGTTATTTGCAATCCTTCTTGCTTCATGGGACTACTTATCATTTGGGCGGGTTAAGTTAAAAGTTCATAGGTAGATTTGATGACATATTTACAGCAAAACATCTACGGACATTGTCACAAAATCTACGAGTTTTGATCACTAGTCATTATATCACCTATACGAATTTATATTAATCCAATTAGTAGGTAAAACATTCGGAACTTTCTGAGTTTTGGGCTACCTAATGTTGATCAATGCCATGGTACAGAGGCACAGTTCGGATAATCCATCAAATTTAAGTTGATTGATATTTTGGATGCAGAAACATGTCGTTAGCTTTGTTAGGATTTTGGCTCAAACACTTTACTTTTACAATTGGATGAATCTGTACAATTGAATTATGTACCCTCATCATTGAAGAATGCGTTAACATTGGTACAACTCTCTCTCACAAGGGTCTTACCGTGCAAAATATACATGTGCTTAGGCAATGGGTAGCTACAAAACATTGATTAAAATTCTGGCTTTTAGTCTCTGTGGCTTGTCCCCCAAAAAAGTTAAATTTTGTTCTTGGCTTTAGAATGAGAAAACGCCATTCTATTCTTTGTATCTTTGCCTCCAAGGCTTCAAGAAACAACTTCACCATCAGAACTGCATTCCAACATGTCACTCTTAATTAAGTTTTTCTTTACCTTTATTTTGCTTTGAGGAACGCACGAATTTAAGTTATATCTCTATCCAACATCAGGTGGGTTGTTGACCACATGCTTGAGCTCGGGTTTTCCAAGTCCCTTTCTGAGTGGATAGGCAGCAACTTAAAGAAGGAAGGCGACAGAGTAACCTGGGCTTTTGACCTCCAAGCTGCCATTGAGATGTTCAATTCCTACAGGTAAAACCTCCTCTCCTCCGTACTAAGGACTCTAAAGTAGTGAGGGTTTGGATAAGAGCTTTGAATCCCATATTGTTTGTGAATACATCCAAATATAATCATAATAATAAATAAATTAATTTAAAAAAAAGCATGCTTTAGTTGGATGTTGTTGCAACTTCAAAGTGTTTCAAATAACGGGAGTTTGAACTGCACGATATTACTAATTCATTTGCTATTCCAATTACTGCCAAAGTCCTTACCAGACATACCCTTTAGTATTCTCGATAAGAGGAAATTTTTAAAACAGCCCCAAAAAGTTTTTTATTTTTCAAAATCTACCCACTTTTTTTTATTTATCAAAATCGACCCATTTTTTGTCACGTGGGCTTAATGAAGTTCCTAAACAATCGGGGTTGCCAACCCGACTGTTTAGGACATGAAAATTTCGGGTTTAATGATTCTAATTGGGGTTTAACACCCTCCTAAACAGTCGGGGTTACCTTACCCTTTAGTATTCTCGATAACGCTTCACCATTCCTTCACCATTCAGTTGTATTTTGATGTCTCTAGGGACACGAGCTATTGGTCTCTATTGGAGCACCCGCCCAAAGGATTGGAGATTGTCATCGTTCGAGCTGAGAATAGCGATAGATGGCATCCACACGTACTCGAGAAGCTGGAGCAAGTCTCCCAGAAAAGGGGGAGTGCCGAAGAGGGGAAGGTTTCTCTTCATGTTCTCCCGAAAGCTGGTCACTGGGTGCATGTAGATAATCCGAAGGGGCTTCTTGAGATAATGGCACCCAACTTTGTGAAGAAGGCTTGAGATCACGTGTTTTTTTTTGGGTCTGTGTTGTCGTTAATAATAATTTTGCTTCTCAAAACTAAATCCCGAAAGCAGTTGTATTGAATTTTGTTTATTCACAATTGATGTATCCGTTGGTATTTACAAACGCGCGTCTAATTTGTGTTGATTCCGTCTCGGTTACAATTCCGCGATGAAGAGTGCGTTTTGTTCTTGCATTCAGAAGAATGTCATTCGGAAGATGTTGATCTATAAAGATGAAGTGCATTTATTATTTTGTAAAATACAAAAGAAAGCTTTTTCCTTTTATAACCATCATCTCTCAGTGAACGTAGAACGACCCTTCCTCTTTTTCTTCGTTCCCCTTTATTATCTCTTCCTCGGCAAACTCGTGAATGGAATGTCTCAAAATACAGCTGAAATGTTCAAAAGTTCAAGGTCTTCGGTTCCAATATGACTCCCAAAGTCTTGGCTTTGATTCCCATTTTAGAAATTAAAAAAAAAGAAGGGAAGAGCTTTGTGCAACTTCACAAAGTTTTGTGGGGTGTTCTCTAATAATAAAAATTAATATTCCTTTTATGAAATTACCCCGAATTTAAATGGAAAATTACCCAAAATGAGAAAAGGTCATGATGTATCACAGCCCAAAGCCCAACCAATTTACAGGCCCATCCCTAGTTCTGCAAGGGTAAAATAGTCATTTACAATACACAAACAAAATGAATATAAGTCCCTTATACTCCCTTCAAAAGGCGAGCAGAGGACAGCTAGGGTTTTTTGCTCTCCCCGCCGCCGCGCCATTTTGAAGCCTCACCGGCCTCCGTCTTCTCGCCGCCGAAACCACTATGGTAATTATTTATAGGGTTTCTTCTCTAAAATCTCTCTCGAGTTATTTTAACAGTTGATTCGCTTCTATTACTACTTTGGACTCGAGTTATCTGGAGCTTGCAGATCTGTATTGATTCCTTTAGAGTACAATAGATACACAAGTTTTTAGAATAATTTATCTGGATGTAGAGGTGAGATCATTTTTTAAGGAAAAAAAGATTGCTTTTTTAGCACTGGAGGTAATTTGATTTTGTTTTTGCTATATCTCGTGAAGTTTATTGGTGTTATTAGGAAATTTCTTTTTCCCCGCTCCTTTCTGATTTTCTGAAATTAATATGTTTTAGCTTTATAATTACATAGAGCAACTTTTTGGTTGGAGAGCTTCAATAAGTTGTTTTCCTACGTTAATTTGAATTAAAAATAGGTTTTTAAGCTTATATTACCCTAAAATCAAATATTTTTGTCAATTTACCCTTAATGTGGTAGAATTGTAAGATAAACTAATAAATGTATATATTTGGAGGGGTAAATTGGCGAGTATGGTTGATTCCTTTTGAGTGTGTATATAAGCAAAAAAAACCTTAAGAAGATTGCTAGAAATTTAAGTATAACATAATTAGAAATATATCCCGATTTAAATTCTGGCTTAATAAGTTATTACAAAAAATGTTATTGTTCTCATTCTTTAATGTACGAAAGGACCAAATACAAATTGGGAATGCTCTTTCTTATTATTTTTTCCCAATTGGTTTCAGTCGAAGAGGAAGAATAGGGAACCCAAAGAGGATAATGTGACCCTTGGACCAGCGGTACGAGAAGGGGAGCATGTCTTTGGAGTTGCCCACATCTTTGCGTCATTCAATGACACTTTCATTGTTAGTTTCTAACCTCATGTTTCTGTTCCATTGCTAGCAACTGTTTGACTGCTGATATTGATTTGTTACTGTTTGATTTACAGCATGTTACTGATTTATCTGGAAGGGAAACACTTGTTCGCATTACTGGTATGGATTTGTTTTATTATGCATTATATCTCCTGTTATTCTTTAAGACTAGAGTAGTTGAATAATTGCTAGATGTGTTTGCATTCTGTGCGAAAATAGTTTGGTATTACAATGTCATTCTTAGATTTGATGATGGATTCAACTAAGACCTATGCTATTCATAATGTTTGTTGATTGTTGTATGATATTGAGAGTTGCTGTTGATATATTGGATGAAGGCCTGTGCTATAGCATTTATTTTATTGAGATCATAGATCTTGGTTTGCAATGAGATTAGATGTAGGCATATTACAAAGTCCTTCTTTAGATTGACCATTAGGACTTTCTCCATTTGTTTTATTATGCATTATATCTCCTGTTATTCTTTAAGACTAGAGTAGTTGAATAATTATTAGATGTGTTTGCATTCTGTGTGAAAATAGTTTGGTATTACAATGTCATTCTTAGATTTGGTGATGAATTCAACGAAGACCTATGCTATTCATAATGTTTGTTGATTGTTGTATGATACTGAGAGTTGCTGTTGATATTGGATGAAGGCCTGTGCTGTAGCATTTATTTTATTGAGATCATAGATCTTGGTTTGCATTGAGATTAGATGTAGGCATATTACAACGTCCTTCTTTAGATTGACCAGTAGGTACTTTCTCCATTTGTCATTTTGTGTTGCACTACCTTACTATAACTTTGGAGTCAAAGCAAAGAATTTGGAAGAATTTTCTGTTGTCATGTTTGGCCTTTGTGGAATTATTGTGCTTTGTAGTTAGCTAGTTAGAACCTTATGGGGTTTACATATGTTCAGTAGGCATAACTGTTTTGTAGAAGAATCATATTTCCTCATTGTTTTGAAGATCTTTTCATATCCTATCTCTTCCCATGTTTTAATAATTTGACCGGATATGTTTTTGTTTCCAGTCTTGTTTTCCTCCTTGGATATGTCAAACTCAAAAAGTTCACCCATATTTCAGTTCTAAGTTAAATTATTTCATTTTTTCCCCTGGTACTTGAGACACCATTTTGATGCCATCAACTAGATGTTGCTCCTTTCTTTAGTTCCCACTTCTTCATTATATTCCCATCCTTTGACCCTTTTTCTTATTTACTTTCCAGTACTTGTTGAGAACGTTACATTCATGTTGAATAAATTCACGCATAATAATGTTGTTTTAATTCACAGGATCAACTAAGACATGTTCACCTTTAAACATCTGCATTTTTTGCCGCTATTAATTTTCTTAAAATAATTTAATCCATGAGGATTTTGCTTCAAACAGAAGGTGGTGAATAAAGACTAACAAATTGAAGAAAGAGAAAGAGCTTTGTTGCTGTTGCTAGGGCCAGTGTTTCCAGTTTCCACCATCAGAAAATATATAAATTCCTTCCTAAAATATTATTGGTTATTTGTCTTGGATGATTGAATGGAGACAATAGATTGTAGTTGGTGTTATTCTTCCGATGAGGGGAACATATGTAGAGAACTGCTATAATGTCTGGAAAAAGACGAATTGTGTGGACCGTACGTAGGATGCACAATTCATCTTGTTCAATACACACAGGTTAGTCCTAAAAAGAGAAATGAAACTGTCTTCTATAAGTTTGTTCTAGAAGCCATTTGAAGACCTCTTGGTTTTTCATTCTTCCACTCATTTTGCTGGGTAGATTGAGGATGATGCAGGTCATGGAGTTCTCACAAGATTGGTGAGAACTACTTTGAGAACTAGTCTCTTGTCTGGGTATCCTACATTTTTAGGGTTTTTTTTTTTTGCTTTGTATGTGTGGCATGTCCCAGTGTCCGTGGACATGCTCTTGCTTCATAACATGAAGTGAGTAAGCTATAAAAGCTTTTGAGGCGTGGCGTGTCAAATCATACTGGAGTTGTGCAAATAAGGTAGTGATCATTTTGGCATATGGCAGACTATGTTGTTCTGCAATTAGTGCAGCTAACTTTTATGTTCAGTAGTTGTAAGATGAGCAGGTCAGACTGTCAGAGTTAATCTTTTGCTCGCAAGTTCTCAGAATTCATTGTCCTCTTGAACAGCTTACTAGTGATTTATTTACAGCAATTGTTCTGCCTTATCTGTGGCCTTGTAAATTTTATGGATGGACCCTCATGAGCAGTCTGGCGTTATAAATTCTCTGATACAGGTGGTATGAAAGTCAAGGCTGACCGAGATGAATCATCTCCTTATGCTGCCATGCTTGCAGCTCAAGATGTGGCACAGCGATGCAAGGTGTGTTACTGTCTATGTCGCAGCTGATTATTCACTAAGGCTCTGTAGTATATAGTTTACACTAGCTAGCTTTAACCTTTTATCTGAATTCTTCCTTCTGATTTCCTTACAGGAACTTGGGATCACTGCTCTGCATATTAAGCTGCGAGCAACCGGTGGGAACAAAACTAAGACACCTGGTCCTGGTGCTCAGTCTGCCCTCAGGGCACTTGCTCGTTCTGGGATGAAAATTGGTCGCATTGGTTAGTTCATTCATATTTTAGATTCTATTTAATCTTAACCTTCCTTTTAATTGCTATAATCGCTTTTAAGATCAGTTAGATAAATGTTACTATTTTAGTGGGTTAATTTGAGACTATGCTGCCAGCGACACTTCCTGGATGCTCCTTAGATATATGTATTTATTTATCAGAAATGTACTCAGTTATGCAATGCATGTTTAATTTGAAACACTCGTCGTACACGGGCGAATTGATGGTTGATTCCTTTTGCTTAGAATTTCAGTTCTTGTCTATATATAACGGAATCCACATAATCAATATTCTTGATAGTTTATTTTCTTTTGGCCATGCAGAGGATGTGACGCCCATTCCCACTGATAGCACTCGCAGAAAGGGTGGAAGAAGAGGAAGGAGGCTGTAGTTCCCTTCGTCGCTGCGTCGAGGAGCCCCAGTCAATTCTCAACAGTGCTCATGTCTTTGTTATTTGGAACAATTTTGCAGTAATTTCTATATTCGTTTAGTTTATGACAGTTTGTTGAGATTATAATCTGCTGTTTTCGGGTAAACTTCAAAACCATGATGTTCAACGTTGGCCTTATTTCACTGTGTGCTTATCTCGATCCTTAAATGATCTTCAACTAGTTTTCTTTACTCTGCCATCAAATATAACCAGGCTACATGGTGAAAGCACAACTTGTCGTAGTATGTTTGGGTTTATTGACGTTGGTTTTCCGTTTCATCTAATAATTACTGCTTATGTTAGCAAACACGCGGTTGTATCCGCATTATTCTTGTGCATAACACACGTTTATTTTGGTTTCCGAATAAAATTGTTGAAATGAAGGTCTCAAGCATTTACCCTTTTGCGAATAAAAGCTTTTCACTGCCGTAGGTGCTATCTATGCGTCTCCCGTTAGTCTCTCTCTCTACCCTTGCATTTATGCGCCTTGATAATATTATAGCTATATCTACTGAAGTTTAGGCTGTTAATACTTCTTTGTTTATATTACGTTATACTTTTGAGTCATTGTTGAGTTGTTGAATAAGCTGAAGCAAGATTTTTTTTATTTTTATTTTTTTATTTGAATAGGCTCAAGCCTAACTGTGAGCTTTTGTAAAATCATTTCTCATTGGATAATACATCGAGAGATGAAGTTCACGAGACCATGTGCTTGTAAATGATATGAACAATACCACTAGAATTCTGAAAGGACGAAAAATAGTACCCTTTAACTACAACTTATTAGAGCGTCTCCAATAGTTTCCTCATCTTTTTAAAATACTTAATTTTGGGGAATATAACTATTTTTAGGTCCAACAGAAGAAAAAATTCTGCTGTATTTTGTAAAAATTCTTCCTTCTCCAAAATTTTAAAAGTAACATTATCATAAATATCTCACATTTTCCAAAGAAGAAAAAATGTATATCTAATACTTTATTGAGTTTTATATTGTTATAATAAAATATCAAACATTTATTTTCTTAATAATTATTGAGTATGTAGGATGTTTTATAGTTGTAATAAATGCCTAAATCCCTACAATAGGAAAGTTGTTGGAATTGGAGTAAAAAAAATTTAGAGAATGAAAAATTCTTTAAGGACCCAAAATATGGGACCAATAAAGGGGACAAGTGAGATGTCTCCCTCCTATTGGATAATGAGTTGACCATCATTAATGATGACCAACTCATTATCCAATAGGAGGGAGACACCTCACTTGCCCCTTTTATTGGTCCCATATTTTGGGTCACTGTAGCAAAGCTCTTAGAGAATTTGACATTTTGATTCTCAATTTTAGAGAAATTATGGTGAAGATGCCCATAAAAGTAACGGTAGGCTATAGCTGTGGAGTTTCTGAGGCACGATTATGACCGATGTTTCCCAAGGAGCAACCTGTTGCGGACATTTACCTATTCAACCCTATCAGAATTTAAGTAGGGAATTTGGACCTTTTGTCTTTCAACACCATAATCCTTCATGAAAGTGAGGATGGCGCAAACTATCTTTTGCTGTAGTTTACTCCTCCATCAATTTTATTCATTACCAAGCAATTAAGAGGGAAAAATAGTTTCAATTAGAAAGAGTTCCGGAGGGCTTGAGTGTGAAATCGGGAGCTTGAAGTTGGTTTAGCTCATGAGATCTTTAAAGTTGTCCGGTTCAATAGGGAGCGTTAGATGGTCACCTTGTTTTTCGTGTTTTTACGGTGTTTTTGTCAAAATAAAAACACAACGTGTTTGGAAACCATTATTGTTTCACGAGGAAAACAAAACGCTTATGGACCAAAAAAAAAAGAACGTTTATCTCAAAACACCAATTAGGTGTTTTGAGTTTTCTAATATGGTGTTAAATATGTTATAATTAATATTATATATTAACCATTCTTAATATAATATATAATAACATATATTAATTATAAATATAATATTATGCCATTGGTGGTAGTTGCGGAACTATTTAATAGTATTAATTAATATAATATATATTTATTAGAATAGATTATGTTATATTTTAAGAGGCTAAAATACTAGATTAGCCTATACAATGACACCCGCTTTCCATTAAGACAACAAGACCTAAATTTTGACACACTAAGGGGCTGTTTGGTTGTATGTTTTTACCATGTAAAAGGATGTAAAGTGTAAAAAAAGTGGGTCCCAATGTTAGCTTTCATCACTTTCAATTGTTTGTTTGTAGTTGTGAAAATAGTGTAAAGTGATTTCATATGCTGATGTGGCTTGTAAAGTGATTTCATGAAAAAAAGACATGATTTTAGGAGAAAGCTAACATTGAAGTTAGGAAAAAATAATAAAAAATAATTCCAACCAATATGATAATTTGAGTAGGGACCACTTTTTACACTTTCCAAACAAACAATTAAAGTTTCATTTTGCAAACCAAACAAGTGTTTTATGATTCCAATGGAATCAGAAACAGACAAAGAAAAGTATAAAAGTGAAATTGATGAGGTGGACAACAACTTTCCAAGTTGTGTCATAAATACACAACTTTAGCAACAACAACCAAACAGCCCCTAAGGCATACTTCAGTTGCAGAGTTTTGATTTGAGTGGGAAAGTTAATAATTTTTTACATATATACCCCTCGAATCTCTGGTACTTACAGATTTTCCCTCTAAAATTCAAAATTTTACAGAAAAAACTCATGTTTCTTTTTTTCATATATACCCCTTAAATATTCCACACATATAGATTTGCCCTCCAAAATTTAGATACTTGCAAAAAAGAATCACATACATATCTCTCCCACACTCTCTATAATATTTGACCAAGTGCAAATATACCTCGTCAGTCAATTTTTTTCGACTCTTTTATATATACTAGTTTGATTGCACGTGCAATGCACGTGGTAAATTTTTAATTTATTATTTTATTATTGATTCATTTCATTAAGATTTATTTAATTTAAACCATGTATCAAACGTATTCGACATCATAGCACGAAGTCTAAGGGAGTTTATTCCCTTAGCACAACGTTACATGCGGGACGGATGTCGACAATCCGCATGTTAGCCCGACTCAAACGGTAGCCGGTAAAGGCTAATCAAACCCGTTGAAGGCTGGGGGTTAGCCAAAAACCCTAAAGTCAACGCCTAACACGCGTCGCCGGGCAGTCTATTCCCGTGAGAAAGACGAGGTCTACGTATTCAATATCGTAGCACTAAGAGTGTTAACTCTTTTAGCACAACGGTACATGCGGAACGGATTTAAACAATCCGCATGCTAGCCCGACTCAAACGGTAGTCGTTTATTATTGATTCATTTCATTAAGATTTATTTAATTTAAACCATGTATCAAACATATGGATAGAATTTATAAATTCAAAAGGATTGAATAGTAAAATTATATTTATTTATTAATTGTTTGATAACAATAGTTCTATCATTGATAAAATCAATTGCAAATGAAACCAAAGGAGGAAAACCATGATACTATAAATAAAAAGAATTAGGATTATCTTTACAGATATGGATCAGCTTTACTTTATATTTCATGTAGAGTTCTCTCATATTGCGCTCCAATAAGTTTCTTTTTATAATGAAATTCAGATGTCGCATAGATCCACGAAAGCTGACTTATCACAGGCTAAAAGCAATGATACTATAAAGATAAAAACAGTTTCACTAAGAGAATCAAATGTCAGAGTTTTCAGCAAATAAAATTACACATCAAGCCCATGGCTACAGATCTGCTGACTAAACTTAGACATCTTCTCATCATAAGCTTGCCTGAGCTCATCCTGCAACTCGGCTCTGATAGACTCTTCATTTGCGGCCAAGATAGTGCAGACATCTTTCTCCAACTGCTTGATGTATGGATTGTTAAAGTTGTTTGAACCCATTAATATTATTTGTCGATGAGTTGATTGCAGAGATAATTAGTCCTCTTGTCCGGCCAGGAGCAACTCATTTTAAATGAAGATACATTGAGGAAAAACCTACAAGAGAAGCAACAACTTGAATTAACTAAAATGAATGGTTCTAGTATTAATCTCTAGAGCATAGTGAAATCAACATACATGCTAGGTGTTGTAGATTCGAATTGGCCTCTGCCACAGTTTATCAGAATCTTCTGATCCTTTATAGACATAGAATGAATAAGAGGAATTTTGTCCAATGTTGCAAGATACAAGAGAATTAAGCATTAATGATATTTCTAAAAATTAATAATTTCAACAAAGAGGAAAAAAGAAATGAAAAGATAAATAAATGAACCATTAGTAATATAATTTTTCCCCCTCTTCTCTTTCCGCGACTTGTTATGTTAAAAGAAGTTTATGACAACATAAGTTACCTGAGTCCTTAGAGGCATCAGGGGTTTCATTGAGGGCAAGTCACTTCTGCACGTGATGCATATTGAAAAACTACAAGAGTTTAAATATTTGAAGGTCAATGGGAAAGTCCGTCGTGGAAGAGTTTGCCAAGCATAGCATTCATAAAGGAGAAGAAAGAGCGGACTTCTATACAGATGACGATCTTCTCAGGGTCATTGTCCAATAACAACTCCTTTACGAGGACATGAAGCCGAGAGGAAGGCCCTACACAAGAAGGAGAAATCTGTCAAGAAGTTTTAATAAAGAAATAAAGGTGATGCATATTGAAAAACTACAAGAGTTTAAATATTTGAAGGTCAATTAATTTTTCACTCATCAATTTTAAAATTATTTATTAACATCCACAAATAAAACTTTAGAAACGGTATAATGTGTGCATTAAAACAAGTAAAGAAAATTAAGAAGATTTGGGAGTATTTGAGTCTAATGGGATTCTATCAGGAAACAAAGCAAACATATCTTCTCTAGTATTTGGGGAAAAAGGATCTGCTGTTTGTTTTTTGTATATGAGTATGCACTTCATATTATTTCTTTATTTCTCTAGTATTTACGTTTTATTTTCTATTTCCTTGTCCAGTGTAAAGGAATGTATTTAGATACTTTTATTAAAGAAAATGATTCATTTATTTGAAGTTCATGTGCCTGTTTGCTTCAAATTCATATTCTTCTGTAGTATTGTACCACAAAATCCTGAATCCTCTAATTTAAAGGCTTCAAAATATAGATGGTTCATGTTTGTATTAGTGACTGTTAATGAAGCAACCATGATCTTGCAGAAGTCAAATTCAACAAATGTTAGTTACACTTTCTGCTTCAGGGTTAGACTATCCAATAGAATATGATATTGCAATGAAATAAATGAATAAAAGCTCACAAACAACTGGAGATCCTTGGATGGCATGACTTTGAACAACTTAAGGCCTCCTAAAACATGTAGTTGTATTGAGATCCTTGGATGGCATGACTTTGAACAACTTAAGGCCTCCTAAAACATGTAGTTGTATTCTATTTGTTTAGTCACACATTGAAAGGTTATGTAAAACTTAAGGCCTCCTAAAACATGTAGTTGTATTCTATTTGTTTAGTCACACATTGAAAGGTTATGTAACTATATTCTATTTTCTTTAATATAAATATATAATCTGACTACCTCTCTCTGGAAACTTAAAACTCATATTTTGAAATCCCTTCAAATAATTCAATTTGCTTAAGAACTCGCCACTTTGTTATTATGGGATTTCTATGAAATCACAACTTAAAGCTCATATTTTGAAGGGTGTACAGTACATAGTATATTATCTGCACTGACCAGTACATATATTATAGCAAGATTATAGCTGCCTGTAAGTATATGAAAAATCCAGAAAACAAACTGTGAAGAACTTCTTGCAGACAAATTGTGGGTATTTCAAGTCTACCTACTACTAATCGTTTCCTTAGCCCAAAAAGAGGCTATCAGGTATGAGCAATATATAATATATCTATCATACTGCCATTGGATGACATAAGCTTAAAGATGTACCATCCTATACCTGGCGCAATTTGGGTTGCGAATCAGAACTATATTATGAAATTTGATTTGTTTACTGCGGTATTTTTTTCTATTTTGCCTTTACATACCCATGGAGTTAGAATAATCTATATTTTAAATCATTGCCAAATGTTGTTGATTTGTCTCCTCTGGCTGATGAACCTCAAAGTTGCAGTTTCCTTCTTTCCATGCCTCAATTTGCTACGAATTAGTTTCTTGTTAGTAGAATGACAGCCTTTGAATGCAGCAAAGCCTTGTGTTAGTATCCTATGTTGCAGGAATATGGGCATTAAACACATAGATGCAGGAAGATAATACACATAAGCACATCAAATCAATCAAATTCAAAAAATAAGATAGAAAAATAAAAACAAAGTAGAAGTATCATGTTTAATGTGTGTCCGAGGTGATACTGCTTCGTGGTATAAATGTTCATGTCTACAGTTTAGTGAGTAAATATAATTGCACAAATTTTAAGTTTAAATGTACAAATTATAAACTTAAGGAACCTGGAATCCAAGAAGGATTGTGCTCGTCAATGCTATGATCCACTAATCGAGCCTAACCATTGTATACATAATGATCCATTTTAGTTTGTATTAATATAGATACCTTTATATAACACATATGTTAGCAATATATATAGTAAACACAACGCTGGTTTATAGCAAACAACATATACATCGCATATCTTAAAATTTTAAATTACAATCCTTCTCTGGAATAACATAACAACAACCGTCTCCATCGATTCTGTGTCACTTTATCCTTGAGAGAATGATGCATTATGGGAAATGTCAATTAATGAAGAAAAGAGATTGTGTAATCTGTATAATTACAGGCTTCCAGCAAGAATCTCAGCATGGGACCATTAAGAGAAAGGACTGGGAGAGAATGTATTACCTGGATCTGAGTTCTAGTTCCAGCGGTAATATTTGAGAGCGTCCAGTAAGCTTCTTTTTTAATGCTCTTTTTGTAATTATGCGTGAGTAGTTGAAGAAGGCAATGAAGCACTTTGTTGTCGATAATAAACTGCAAAATACTTCATAGGATTACTCTCCGTTATTTAAACACAAAAATTAATACAAAATACAAAATAATGCTAGTAAAAGTGGAGTTTCATTTGTACTATTGCATGTAGGGAAGACAATGCACTGAATCAATGTTAAATCATCCTAGTCACAGAAAGCAGGTCCAACGTAAGGCAGGGCTCAATGTCAAATCAGTCAAGAATGAAAAAAATGAGGGGAAACTAATGGAAAGAAAATAGATGCTGTCCCATATTGCTTGCACAATCAGGCTTATGCAGGTTATGCGCCTGCATACCTGATTATGAGGCTGCACCGATACAATTATCAGGCTTATGCAGGCTTATGTCCCATATTACAAAATTGTGTGTTTTTGTTCAGTCTATCAACATTATCTCCTTATTGCACAAGCAAAAGAACATGAATACGCAAACAAAAATACACCCACACACGCAATATTATTGTACATGTAAATTATGTCGTGGAATTTAGATGTGAGAACAAAACTGATACAGTTAGAAAAAAATCTAGCCCTCCCTAACTCACTCAACTTTCCCCACTTGTGTCTGCAAATACTATCTAACAAAATCCTCCACCCCTAATTTTCTCAATTCAGCTCAAAAAAAAAACTAATTCATCAAAAGTAACTAAAAGGACAGAAACCATAATTTCACAAAATATAACAATTGAATTTTTACATGATGAAACTGACACAGGAGCAAGATGAAGACTTGAAGCAAGCCCTAATTCGGACAATCCTTGACCTATTGCTGAATTAGAACAAAATTATATGATAGCTAATTAGAACAAAATTAAATGAAATTTTTCTTTAAAATTAGAACAAAATGAGAGGAATGAAGAGAAAAAAGTAAAATCAGTCTTAACCGATGCCAAAATTCTGACAACTGAGGAGATGATGGCGGAGGCGCAGCGTTGATGATTAGGGCAATAACAATCATCTTTGGAAATTGATGGCTTAAGATCGTAGGACTGTGTAACTTAAGAACTGAGAAGATGGGCTGAGAAGATGAGTAACGGATGAACTGGTGAATTGAATTCATCTTTAAAAGTTGGTGGAGGTAAAGGAAGATCGGAGGAGGGTACGTAATCGATGAATTGAAAGGAGGAGGAATATAGGCGTAACTGATGAAAGGGTAAAGTGGTTTATGAATTCAGGATATGTTTGATAATTAAATTTGGTGGAAGGCTATTTTGGGAAGGGTAAAGTTTTTCATAAACTCCCTCTTTTTAAGGGTAAATAGATATGGCTAAAGCTCAAGTACATGATTTGGGCCCACACAATACTTACAGTCAAAACGTTTTACTTGGAACTTAAGAGATTCATTTCTTTAATGTCCTTTTCTTTCTGCTTTCAGATTCTTGGAATTTTTTTTTGAAGTGATGCTGACTTGAGCCACTGGGCAATCCTAAAGATTTTTGACCAATGAACATTAATGAAGGCTTGAATTCTCGTATATGATCCAGACCAAGACCAGGGTTTATTCTACTTCAATCAGTCAAAACGTTTTGCTTAAAGATTTTTGATCAATGAACATTAATGAAGGCTTGAATTCTCGTATATGATCCAGCCGAATTCAAATTTTGTAGTTGATGAGATGAATCAACAACAAAATCAACCTCATCGACCCAAGAAACCTTACCAGATTTACCAGCATATGAAAGAGAGCCTAGAGTATCACAGATGATCTTCTGAACTCCTGACTGAGATGATTCGCCTCTGATCACCTTAACAACGGAATCAACATCACCAGCTAGGGCAGATTCGCTAATCTGATAACCTCCAGTCACCTGAGGAGCAGAATTAGAGCGAACAACACCAGCTAGAGAGGATTCACTGAGCTGACAAACTCCCAGTCACCTGAGGAGCAGAATTAGAGCGAACAACACCAGCTAGAGAGGATTCACTGAGCTGACAAACTCCAATCTCCAGAGGAGCAGAATCAATTTCGAACAACACCAGCTAGAGAGGATTCACTGAGCTGACAAACTCCAATCTCCAGAGGAGCAGAATCAATTTCAGGTTGGGAGAATTTATTGATCTGACAAACTCCAATCTCCAGAGGAAGATTCCGACAAGATCTTGAGTTTGAATCATTCAGAATTTCATCCATAATCCTCTTTTTCTTTTCTCCCTTTGGCCCCGTAGATCCCATTATATTCAAGAAATCATCACCTTCCTCAATCGATCCCGTTTCTTGATCAATCGAAGAAGATGAATTCGGATTTGAAGCACTAAATCCAAACTTTAGCAATTTTTTCCCATGATTTTTTCTAGTTTTCGCCATCTCAATCTCAGTGGGAGCGCAAGTTAGCAGAAACGAATCCTGCTAACAAGCGCCGGATAACCACTCAATTTGTTAATTTTGGACCAACTTTTAGTCTCTTTGATATCGTAAAACTACGCTCACCTCTGCATGTCTCTATTGCACCGTTCACCATGCCTTGGAGATCAATGTATAAGGGTGACAGCTCTGCTTGAACAACAATGTTATCATTGAGAGTAAGACTATCTTTTTAAGGCTAGGAAACAACTGAAGGATTATACAAAATATAGCGTGCAAAGTTTCAGCACCTCAAGCTAAAGGATAGCTAATTTGAAAATAAATAGGGTTAGTAGCAGATAGACCCTCTATACTATTGCCAAATAGAATTACTACCTCTATAATTCTATGGTAGCAGATAAACCCCCTAAGTGAATCTTTTACCCGCTTCAAGGAGTCTATCTACAACAATATATTTCCTTTCATTGGGTCTATCTGCAGCATAGAACTATTTCAGGCGGTTTATCTGCAACAACAAAACCATAGGGTTAGTAAGTTAAATTTGGCAACAGGTGGTCTATCCACAATAACTTAAAAAATGAGCTTTGGGATACTCCAATATACTATCAAGTAGTCTCAAATAAATAGCTAATCTAATAGATGGTATATGCAGGTTGATTTAGAAAATATTTCAAATAATATAATGCAAAATACAAGCTATTATTTCAACAATATGCTGAAATAGATAAAATCATTCAAACTACTATAAAAATGCAATATAATGAAAATTTTAGTTTCTACTTTTAAGGTTAAACAAATGCCAACTAAAATTTAACCGGTTTCATGTTATCTCCTCACATTAGGAAGATTTATCCGGATATGATTCATGACTAAATTATACTTAGGACTCATTACCGTCAACATGGCCGCAACAACAACAACAGGCTTCTAGCATACATTAGCCCGTTGTTGTTCTGCTAATATACTGGCTCTCATAACAACGTTATTCTCATAGGTATTGACGTTGCCTGTAGGAAGTTTCTTTGGGAGTAAAAGATGAGAAGCATAAAATGACCTGTATAGCGTTGAAGGATGCTCGTAAATTTAAAAGATGTGGTGGCTTGGGGTTATATGGGGCAGAAGGGTGGAGTATAACTTCAATTGCTAAAGTTATTTGGGAGATTCACCTAAATAAGAAGACTTTGTGGATTAAATGGTTACATGAACCTAATCTTAAGCACTGTATCATAAGGGAGGTCTGTTGCAAAGCAGCTGATTCTTGGCAAAGGAAAAGGGTGTTGAAGGTGAGAGATTGGTTTATATTGCAGTTCAGTGGGATTGCTGCAAGTGTGCGAAAAATGGCAACATATTGTGTTGGTAGCATACTTAATTAGTATCTCCTTGATATATCATGCACTGATGCCAGAGACTGCTTTTGGTCCCCTCTTGTTTGGACCTCTTTAAATGTGCCATTTCATAGGGTGGCTTGTGATGAGAGCCAGGTTATTAACACAAGAGAGTATTAAGGCTGGACATTGATTGTCCACATATTTGTAATTTTTGTCAACAGGGCCCTAAAGAATTGGATCATCTGCTCTTCAAATGTGATTTTTCAAAGAGGACGTCGCTGGGAATCATGGCTTGGAGTGATGTTAATACATGACTGGCAAGATGAAGTGATTTGGTTGTTTAGGCAAATCAATTTGTAAGAAAGTTTTCTGTGCTTTCTTAGCTGCATGTGTATATCATGCATAGATGGAGAGGAATCGGTGGGCATTTGCAAGAAAGGAGATGCCTTTTGAGAGGATTATTAACGATATATTATGAGAGAGATCCTTTGTAGAGCATTTCATTCACATATGCCTTACCATACTTTGATGTACATATTTGAAGTAAGCAAGTAAGTTCTTAAAGTGCTTTGACATTTTTCTGTAGTCCATTCTTGTATACACCCCCAGGAATGTCTGGGTAGCGGTCTGCAAATATCGCTCATGGTAAGTGAAATATTTTCAATTACCAAAAAAAAGAAAGAATTAATAATCAATAATTTCTGGAGCATTCCTCATAAACACCCCAAAATTTAAAAAAAATTAGCCGATCCTAAGATTGGGAGCTAATTTCTGCTAGCCTCGATCTATCTGTTGCTTTAGGCTGAAAATAGAGAGTATAGAGGATGTATTAAGACTTAAATGACTGCTGATTAATTGACCTCACCGGTATCCATCTCAAGGTTCGCTTTTTAACAAGTACTAACTAACAACATTATCAAAAATGATTTCTTTAATTAATTTTAGAATGTATAGGACCTTGATAATTTGGTTACACCACCTAATTACGATCAGAGAATCGGGCTGATGTTTGTTTACCTAATTACGATCGATGTGACATGCATGGTGTTTCTGGCCGAGACGCATGAGGATAATCTCTATCTCACGAAGGGCAACTTCTAGCATTGATTGCATTAGAGACGCTGATCAAAGATGGCGCGCGGGAGATATGTTGGAGGATCTTGCTTGGATTATTGTGCCAAGTGGATGATATGACTCCGATTATTGCTCCTGGACAAAGATGTACTTGACCTTTGGGCTCCTGGAAATTGCCTCAACACGGTATGGGTAAAAGCAAGTACGTACGAACAATAAAATTAGTATTAACAGGTAGAATATCGATCATTTCAAACAAAATATAAATGTATGTGCAACTCAGTTTCCGCATATACCTTTTTTTAATAAAGAGTCCTCGCATCTCTATGATATTTTTCCCCCCGCGTTCAGGGGCTACGTTTCCGGGGACATAACTATGTGAAGCTGACACGAAAGTCAACATGTGCTTTTATCATTGACTAGTTTTTACACACGTGCAATGCACGTGATTTAATACCATGATTAAGTATTTTTGGCAGTTTGTGCTCATTTTTTTCTTTAAACTCTTACATCCCGATTATTTTTTTATGTTTGTTTAAATGGGATACACCCAATTTAAATTTTCATGTTGATATTTGAATTGACAAAAAACAAATATAATTTAAAAATAATTTGAATTTTCATATTATTTTTGACCGATATGAAACTAAGCTTTATTTGAGAAAGTATAGCATTGCAAAGTGAAAAATATTAAAATAGTGTTATACAAGGAAGGTGAATATTTAAAACCAATATGGCAAAATGATTGATTTAAAGTATGTTAAAACGATGCAAAAGAGAATATGAAGTTTATTCCTAATCATTGATAGACTTCATAAAAAAATATAAATTAAAGATTAATGCTAACTCTAGTATACTTTTATATGATAAAAACATCCACATAAGAATATAAAAGTACTGAAAAAAATTCATGAAACTCCCTTCTAAAGATTCCTAATTTCACTCAAAATAATTAAACTATTCTATAAAATATTCATAAAATATTGTTTTTATTTCTTCTATTTTATTTTTTATTGAGTTAAGATCAATCCTTCTTCAGGTTTATCATTTATCATTTCTCGGACAATTCTAGAGTATTGTCTTCATCATCTACATCAATTGTGACATCAGGCTAATTTTGTATTTTTTATGCTATTATCTTTCCTAGGCTCGTTAATTTTTTATCATCTCATTTAACTTTACAAAGAAGTCAAATGTACTTATGATGTTCAACACAAACTGCTCAAAATATAGACTTTGATTTTTTTTTCTATTTCAATGAGAATAAATATTAATTTCATATATATAAAATTCTTTGTGTTCCTAATTTATTACTTAAATAAATTAGAAGCTATCTCTTTATTTTCCTCTAAAATGAATTCTTCTGATGTGCATCCAATAAGAATTTCTGTTATTTCAATAATATTACCTTTGCTCTATCCTTATCATTTTTCATAAAGATCTAAAATAAATACCTGCATTATTCATTACTAATTTCTCTTAGATTATAATATTAATATTTAATTTGAAGAACACAGTATGGAATTTATGAATACTTACTAATTTTTCTTATGTCTTCCATGGAGATTTTTTCTTTGATTAGGATAAAGTTATTAAATTATTTTTTAATGTAACTCATTCAGTGCTTCATTAATAGATATGTCTTATGTTAATGCCAATTCAAGTGATTCATTGACGTTTTCTGAATTTTAGATTTATTTCCATCACTTTCCCATTTGCAATGGAAATAACTCAATTCTTTTAAAGTTATCTCTAAATATTCTAATAGTTTCTCCATATGTAATTCCTTGTATTCTTTTACCCTATAAATATTATTAACGTCAAAGATTAAAGTTTCTAAATTAAAATCAATTAATGCTAAGGTATAATATTATAGTGTTTTATCATTTCTATGGATTTAAACATCTATCAATTAATGTTACGAATGTATTTTGGCTACCCCAACTTATTACTAAAATTATATGAAATTACTTTAATTTATATAGTGCCGATAATTTTTAATCTATAATATTTTTAAAAATTTTATCCATTAACCGGATGTTTTTAATCAATTCTTATTGTTTTTGTTTACCAGTATCAACTTAGACTATTCTTAGATGCTGAAAATGGATAGTAAATCCCTAAATTAGAAATTTTAATATATATATATATGAAAAATACCAAACAATTACACTTTTCTTTGCCAAGTTTTAAAATTTTAGCCCATTTTTGTGGTTTTGAACTTTGAGGGTGTGATTTATAATTTTTAAAATTTTGAAAGAGTTTTTAAAAAATTTACTTTTAAGTTTGGTAGTTGTAAATTCTATGTTTCATGTGTTGGTGGTAATTTTTTAAATGTTAGTATATTTCTTGTAACTCTAAAATTTTAAGGGTGTCTTTTGCAATTATTAAAACTATAGATTAATTTTGAAAAATATTAAATTTCAGCGGTCTACCAATCAACGAATTTGATGTGTGCTAGTTAAAAATTTAGAGTTTTTTTTTACGATTTTTAAATTTTGAAGGAGTTTTTTAAAAATTTTGAGGTTAATTTTGGTAAATTTTAATTTTTTAGGTGTCTAAGGGTAATATCTTGAATTCATCTTATTTTATTTACAAATTTTAGAATTTTAGGGTGGCTTTTTATAATTTGAACTTTTGAAGGTGTTTCTATAATTTTTGAGATATTGATGGTGTTAATTAAAAAATTTAAATTTAAATGTCAAAAATTTTAGGTGTATCATGGTAATCTCTTGAATTCATCTGTGTTGTTTGTAAGTTTTAAAATTTTAGAATTTTAATGTGCTTGTCTGTAATTTAAACTTTTGAGGGTGTTTCTATAATTTTTGAGACATTGAGGTGTTAATTGTAAATTTTAAATTCTTTGCAAACTGATGTTAATTTTTTAATTTCATGTTTTTTATTTTAAGTTTTGAGACATTTGGATGAGTTTTATAATTTTGAACTTTTCAGGGTCTTTTCTGTAATTTTAAAACTTTTTATGGTTTTTTTGCAATACTTCATGTATTATAATATGTTATCTACTTGTAATTTCTTTATCTTAACAAACTAATATCATTTTTATGTTTTATATATTTTATTAATATTAGTTTTTTTAAATTGTTAAGCTAAACATGGTTCACATAGGATTAGGATAAGATATGATTATGATTAGGATAGATTAAGATATAAATAAAATATTCAAAATAGTGAAGGGTAATATTGACCATTGAAAATTAGAATTTGATTATAGATAAGGTAGTTCAAACTATAAAGGGGTATATTTGTCTAAAAAAGATTTTCTGAACTCGTGCTTTTAAAGGGAGTATGATAATAAAGGGTAAATATATATATATATATATATATATATCGGGTCTATAAGCCCCCTCAATTTTTTTTTATGGTTTAATAGTAAAATAAATCACTCTAGAGTCTATTCACGTTTAACCCTTAATAATAAGCCTTACTATTTAACAGGCCATCACATAAACTCTGCCTGCGGCCCAAAGAACAAACACTTTGCAGCCCAGCAACGATGCCGTCACCAAAAAAAAAAAAAAAAAAAAAAAAAAAAAACCCCCCCCCCAAAAACCCTCCACCCTATAAATTTCTAACTCCATTCCATTATTTTCTCCTAGGGTTTCAGGACCACCGCCAAGATGCAGATCTTCGTCAAAACCCTAACTGGGAAGACCATCACTCTCGAGGTCGAGAGCAGCGACACCATCGACAACGTCAAGGCCAAGATCCAGGACAAAGAAGGTATTTTTCCCTTGAATTTCTTCAAAAAAAAGTTGCGTTCTTTAGTTGCGATTGCCGCTGAAAACCCTGATTCTGTGCAGGGATCCCTCCGGATCAGCAGAGGCTCATCTTTGCAGGGAAGCAGCTCGAGGATGGGAGGACTCTCGCTGATTACAACATCCAGAAGGGTGAGATTGCAATCTTTTGTGTTTGGAATTGTAAATTTTACATTTTTAGGGTTTTTGTGCGTTAAAGTTCGTTTCTTTGTTGGAGTTTATGTAATGTTGACCGCGCCGAGTTTAACTCAACGTGTGTCTACATTTTGCGAATATCTGGATTAGGATTGGGGGGTAAATCTGCAAATATGGTTGATTTGGAGGGTATATAGGCTAAAGAAAACCCATGATTTATGCGTTGGTGTTTGGACTAGATATATGCGATTTTTGGGTTTTGTGTATTGAATTTGTTTTTGTTTTGAAAATTTTGTAGAGTCCACATTGCATTTGGTGCTGAGGCTGAGGGGTGGCATCATTGAGCCCTCTCTTATGGCTCTTGCGAGGAAGTATAATCAAGATAAGATGATCTGCAGGAAGTAAGCATTTTTTTTAGTCTTTGTTGGCTATTTATAAATATCTATTTTAATTTAGATTTATTTTGAATTGGGTTTGGGAACTATTGGTTTTAGTTTTTCTGGGCTTTAATCGTGCCTAAGAAATTGCCATGGGCCCGAAAAGTAACTATACCTTTAACTTTATCATCTGCATTTCTTTAGTTGCAGCTGATTTTCATAGGTTTTACATCTTATTGGTCTTTTAAATGTTATAATAATATCATTTTTACTGTAAATTTGTGCACGGTCCTGTTGTTCGCCTATGCTTAGTTTTGATCACTAGGTTACTATAAATTTGTGCACGGTTCTGTTGTTCATCTAAGCTTGGTTTTGAGCACTAGGTTTTGGATGCACGCGTAAGTAATTAAAAACTAAATTTAAAAAATTGTTAATGGTCAAAACAAATTTGATTTGAAATGGTTTAAATTCACAATAAGAATTAAAATGACATGGTTATTGACAATTAAAAGACAAGCACTTAACATGATGATTCTTTTTGTCTTTGAATGATGATGCATTACATGATTTTTTGCTTGCTGTTATAATAATGAAGTAAATTATGTAACCACACATAATACTTTTCCTGAGTGTGAGGGAACCAATGGTGGAACTAGAATGCTTTTACATGAACATTATAGTTTTGGGATCTTTGCTGGTGGAAGTGTTTGCTAGATATAATTCCATTTTGGGCTTAAACAGGGTTCTTATACTGACTTCAAATGTTAATTGGGCTTCTTGCTATCTTGTTGTCAGATGTTTCATTGTACCCTTATCATTGCTCTCCTCTTCTCTGAGGACATGCTATTTTTCATTTACTGTTTTTAACTTTTAAGAAAATTTACTTTTTTTGAATAATCATTTTGTGCTAAAAAGGCAATGATTTTATTCTTAGCTAATGGAGTTCTTTCTCCATCAAGCTCTATTAAAGGCAGGTTCCTCTTTCTACCTAGCAGCCAATTTATCTTAGTTTTTGTTTTATTTAAGTTTTTATTGTACTTGTCCATAATTCCTTTATTTTTGCTTGTATTGCCTGAAGTTTTATTTTTTGTTTGTGTCATAGATTATTTTCTGCCTTCTTGACTTTTCAAATTCATTGGTCTGAGTGATCATCATGTAGTATGGTGCCTACTGTTAGTTCCACAATAATGAATTTCTTTTCTATGCAAAGGTTTTGAGTATCTGAATTCAAGCAAGGCCCTTAAGATCGCCTTCCTATTTAGTGGAAGCGTTTTGAGTCATAGCCATGCAACAATAATGTCCAGGTTTTGGAGAGTATTTCTTCAGAGCCGTCTCATTTTCCTATTTGTGGGTGTTTTTCTTTGTTGGTATATGATCTTCCTCGTGTAAATCCTCGGGATTAGTAACAGCTTGCTGCTATTTTGACTGTGAGGATTTTATTTGGGAGTTCCGATTTCGACTAGTGTGAAAAAACACTATCTGGAAGTTGAGGACATAGTTTTCCATATATGTTTTTGGTTTTCGGAACCTAATCTTTCATGGCTATCAACCATCTATTTATTAAATTTATAGTACCAATTTTTCCCCACTCTTAAATAAGGAAAATATTCTGCTCTGACAAATTTGCATCACTGTAGTGATGAAATGCTTAGCTTTTTGTCCAATGTTACTTGATGCACGGTCAATGGTTCCTTTGCATGAATTTATCACTAGTGTTCCCTTCAAATTGGTTCTTTTCCCGGTCATATTTCCCTATATAAGTGCATCTTTCTGGGATTTTTAGAATGATAGAAAACACATGGTATTAAGGGACAAATCTAACAGTTCGTAATTCTGCCAATATTTTTAAGGTAAATGATTCTTGGTAAAAATTGCTGCCATTGGTTCTTTCTTTATCAACTCATTTTCATTGCCTATTAAAATATTGGTCAATAATAACATAATTAGATATTGTTTCTTCAAATCTAATCATTGTGTATAATAAACTTGATCTGCCTTGTCTTCTCAAATTTATCGCAGTACTTGTTTAAATGGTTGAAGTTTTGTAGCATAAGAATGACAGATATTCTGTAGTTGGTGTTCCTTTTGTCTATATTTTATTTTTGTTGGCAATGCTTTATTAAAGATTTTAACTAATACAATTAGGCAGAAAGAAATATTTATTGATTTTTAAACTAACTATGAATGTATATTTTATTTATTTACTTTTGGGTATTCTAGGTGCTATGCAAGGCTTCATCCCAGGGCTGTTAACTGCCGAAAGAAGAAGTGTGGTCACAGCAACCAGGTAAATTTGAATGCTTGGAAAGATTTGTGTTATGGTTCAAATAACTTATGATTTTTTTCTGCGCATATTAATTAACTAGAAATTTTCTTGATGTTTTGCAGTTGAGGCCCAAGAAGAAGATCAAGTAGACTAATTATCTGCTTGTTTGCCTTTTTTTCAGTCTGTTACTGCTGCTTTAGTTCACCTGTTATATGCCTTTTGCATAACAAAGTAACTGCTGTTTTTCCAGTGATGTTGAACAATAACTTTTGCTTGTATTATCAGATTATATTAGCTCTTTTGGTCTTTTGAGTTTTATATTACATTTTATTTGCAGAGATTATGGGTTAGTAAGATAAAACTTTTACATCTGATGGCTGTGTATGTTTTTTTTTCTTGTCTGATGGTGGGTGGGTGATGTTTATTTTGCTGATAACGCTCTTTTGTATATTTTAGACACAAGCGTTAAAATTCCAGTATTTGCCTTATTCTAGTTCAAATTCTCTTTTAAGGCATCAGGTCTTGAACGCTTCTCTCGACATCAAGGGTCCGTTTGGTCTGACAGAAGTATTATCGGAAAGTAGATCGAAGAATCATGAGTAGAAAATAGATCAAAGAAGAGAATTTTTAATTTATGAAGTAAGAAGTAATGAAAATAATGTATATAATAAAGGAACGGTTCATTTCTATCTACTCTTAAACCAAGTGAATGTAGTTTCTCATTTAAATGATTGAATGAGAATCATTAAGCACAAAATTTTATGTTTATGTTTGTTATTAAGTTCCTCGATATTGTTTATATATATGTTAACCTTTTGTTAAAGTAGTGAAAATAGTGCTTCTTATTTTATTTGATTTTTTTTTGTTTAGCTAATAAATAAAATATTAAGAAGGAAAATATTAAGCATTTGTAACCGTCCTTCTCCATTTCGGCATTGAATTTTACTGTCTAACGTGTAAATAGAGCAAGAAGTTTAGCATAATGTATTTTCTGTCCGTAAATGGTGTTTTTGTGGCTACCACAAATTATAACAGTAACTATTCTAGACTTTGAATCAAATGATTTCAGATAATCCAAATCCCCTCTCGTAAACTAGTACGTAATTTGTATCCATCGCACAAAACAATTCCCTACCTATAAAATTATATGTAATACTATTTAAGGGGAAATGGAAATGAGATGACAGTCCATTCGAGAAACAATTCTAAACTCAACTAAGATTTGGGAATCAAGAAACTACAACCAGTCTATATTATGTACATAACATAGATCAGAGATTTGGGAATCAAGAAACTACAATCAGTCTATATTATGTACATAACATAGATCAGGAAGAATGTTTACCCATCCGCTACTCTTGCATCTATGCGATACATTGGCAAAAAAATTTGAATACGAGGACCTAAGAAAGCTCCCCTCTCACACTAGCAAACACTGTAAATAATAATAACAATAATACATCACACAACAACTACACAAGAATAGCTTGTGTTATGAAACCAATCAGTTCAGTTGAATGAGGGGCGATCTTGGTATCTGCGAGGGCTTCTCCTTCGACGATTCGTAAGGGTTGTTTTCCCTAAACTCCTCTAGAAGAGTATCCATTGGCATTGCTCGAAGCGACTCGATGGTACCCTTGCTTGGCACGTTGGGCTCAGACCGCAACGGTGTCTCACCGCTAGGCTCATAATCCTGATCAATATAAGGTATGGCGTGAAGTTTAGATTTGCGGAAGGTTCACAATATTTACTGATGGGTAACTTTCACAAATCTATGAATCTAAAGGAAAAATACAACGTGTTATCGCAAAATTATCCTGATGAAGTTATAAACATTGTTAAATGTCTAAAATTTATGCCTACCAATTAAGAGGGAGAAGATGCGAGTGCAGTTAGATAAAGGACAATTTTTGAAGGCAAAAAACAAGCATTCTTTAAAATTTTATTACAAGATAACAATTTTGTTTACTTTTAATTAATAAAACTACCAACTCTAAGCCATCAACATCTCTGACAAAAGTCCCCTTTAATTATTTTCAACCACATCAGCATGTATGACCGAAAAGTTGGTTGCTTTTTAATCGAATGTAAACTTGATCATGATTTACAATTAAATGTCAGATTTTTTTTCCCTCCCCAAAGATTTATCTTAAAGTAAATAACATCAAGATGGCCAAAGTAAGCCAGTAGTATATCACATGCCAACTTATACTACTGTCTGAGGTATATGAGAAATTTTCCCATCGTAGTTTGTTTAGCCTCAAAGAAATATAGCAATTGGCTTACCTTGTATGTATTTTGGAAGGTATTCTCTGCGTACTCGTTGACATCAGAGGCCCAGCTCCTATGATCCTCCTGCAGCTGCTGCAGAGTCTCAGCGTGGATTTCTATTTCTGTCAAAGTTCCTTTATTCGATTCCTTGTCGTATTCCATTATACCTAAACAAAAAAATAATGTTTGGTATGTCAAAGAAGTATACTCCTCATAAGCTGACGATAGAGAAATGTTAACCTCAAAATAGAAATAGGAGGCTGACTTAATTGCAAGATACGTTGAAACCAGCGATACAGAAATACCCAGTTCTCAAAAATAATTCAGAAGTCCGATGTCTCAAACGGTGCAAGGTTGGATGTTCGAACTTCCAGGTTAGTGGCTACTAATGCTACGAGGTTTGGTATACACAATCCACAATTTAGATTAACTGTCCACACTTAAACTAATCAAGGTTCATATTTTATCCTGATCTTAGATTAAACAAATGACCCCACATCAGGTGCTTATTGTTCACAGTAGAGAAATTCAAGATGATGAAGGGAAACTCACTCTCTAAATGATGTTGAATATCTTTGCTATTCTTACATGCATCCTCCTCAGCAATACTTCGTGCTGATGCAACCTCAGAATCATGTTGCTCATTACTCTCAATGGCGTTTCTACGAACAAAAAGTATCAGTAACCTACCATCATATATATTAGAGTAAAAAAAATATGGATAAATGCATTCAAACTCTACTAACCGAATAAGTGCATCCATGTCGACGACATGCTTACTGCTCATCTCATTAACAGATGCATGTATCTTCTTCCACTGTTGGCAGGCAGCATTAACAGTGTTTTCACTGTGATAAGTTAAGATCACAGGAGGTTGCAATAAGCGAAAAACAAATTTGCATAAATATCACAATAGAAGTAGGAAAGGACAAAGTTGGGCCTCAGAACAAACCATTCTTGAAGAACAAGTTCCATACGACAATGCTTTGCTGCAGAGAAGTTGGAACCATCTTCGGAATCATGCTGTGCTTTCATGGAAAATTCTTGCCATTTCCTCTTGGCATTAGTTGTCATGCCATTGACAGATGATACATGCTCATCAAAAACCGTCTTGTTCTCCAAAGCAGAATCCCTAAATGCAGTGAGTCTTCCATTGACCTGGAAAGCTCAGTAATGAGTGGGCTTGCTGAAGATCATAAGAAAGCAAGCATATATGATAGGACAGACCAGTTCTTTTTGTCGGTGCATGTGACTGGACACTAGACTCGTCAAATCTGCTATAAGCTTTTCTGCTTCGGACCTTGATTCCTCCTGTTTATAGCACCAAAGTTAAATTATACGACAAAGTCACATAAATAAGCCTCAAAGATGTGAAAAACACCTCATAAGCCTTCTGGAAATCAGCAAGGCTAGCCGCCTGAGCTTCATGCACCAGATTCGAGTGACTGTGAAGCTTCCTTGATTCTGCACCCAGCTTTTCAAGAAGTTCAAAGATAAAGTTGGACATCTCCTTTGTATGCTCCAAACTAGAAGAAAACCTCTGCCATTAACATGAAGATGGTTGATGAATGAGTAATCAGAAACTTCAAGATAATTTTTTAACTAACAAGTATTACAGGAAATGATAAAAGTTACAAACCTGTCTCAGCTCCTGAGTGAAGCTTGCAATCTCTCCTCGATGAATAGACAAAGTACCTTGTAGATTCTTAAAGATAAGATCTGTTTCTCCTTCCCCCACAGTTAGCAACTGATGCACAAGCAGTTAATTGGTGAATTCCGGTAAGGGCTATAACATTAGTTTAAAAGTTAAGCCTTAATACATACATGAAGAAGAGAGGAGCAATTGGCAGCAGCAGCAGATGAGATCTCTTCGAGGCCAGCATCGCTTGTTGATTTATGCAAGCGTACTGCATTCTGAATTCCTTCTACATGAGAAATGCACAGTGCCCTTGAGTTTGACACCTTCTTCTTCAGTTCTAAGACTGCCTGCATATGAAGTGAAGTATAGATGGACAAGTGTCTCCGAAGGGGTGCAGACATAAGATAAGCAAATGTACTTACCTTGTCATGGAAATCTAGACAAGATTGACAAAGATCCCCAACAGACTGAAGGTGTTTATTCTGTTTCTCCATTGATGTAGCTAAAATTTTGCAGAGTGAGGTAACTTTATCTGTGAGATCAACCTGAAAACTATTGACTGTTGACCTATTTGCAGCATTCAGTTGGTCTTCTCTGGCTGTGGAATCAAATCCATCAGGAAAACGAAGTCTCATTATTATTTTTAAAAAAGCTCAGACCTGTAAGTTGTCAAATGCAAACAATACCTATTTTAGAAAACAACGAAGCATTATCACGAATAGATTTCTCCAAGTCTGCCCGCAAAACACATGCTTGATGAGCCAAAGCATTTTCTGTTCAACAAAATTATAGAAATAAATAAAACTAATACTCTTTAAGCTTATATATAAAAATATCTGGACTTTTGCAAACCAGCTTTCTTCTGTTCTGATATGATGAAGTCTTTCTCTTTCAGGGTATATTGGGATTGCTGGAGATCCTCCTTTGCAATAGCTAATAACTTGCTAGTATGGTTCAAGCTTTTCTGCATAAAGAAACACAAAGGAATAAAGTCCATTGAACAAATATAAGGCCTGAATGACAACAACAACAACGACAACCATAATAGCACACACCTCTGTTGCATCAAGTTGTTTTCTCAGATCTGCAACAAGATGCAGTTGTGTGTCATTACTTTCCTGTAAATCCTCAATTTGCTGCAAGAATGCAAGAATTATTATGCACAGCTGGAGCAGATACAGGAGTAACACCAAAATTCATGTTGGAAGAAATATCCATTGCAGGAGCAACCTAACCTTTTGTTGGGTTTCTAGTGAGACCCCCATTTGCTCAATTTGCTCTGCCATTGCCTTTGAAGAATCAAAAAAAAGCATTAACAAAATAACTTTGTGGGCACTTTGAAAAAAAATTACCCTCTAATGAATATCAGTTGCGAGCCTCCTAACAAAATATGGGTGGAGTGGAGATTTCACAACAGACCAAAAGGCACTTAGCACTTAGATGTAAGATACACGAAGTGGTGGGGATCCTTTTGGTAACCGTGCATATAGACTGAACAGGGACAAGACTACAAACTCACTTGTGCACAAAGGTTCAGGGCATCAGATAAAATTAGAATCGGATATGTGTTGTACCTTTCTTTCAGCCTCCTCTTGTGAATATCTTTCTTTTGGTATGTAGACTCCATTTTTCTCACGAGTAGCATTCAGTTCTGAGAAATAAACATTGAGTCAACTCTCCTGCTAAAACTCTGCACCTGGAATGAGCTATCAAAGCTAACAAGGGGCTCTACCTGCTTTAAGCCGGTCCATTTCCCCATAGAGGTCTTTGATCAAAGTTGATTTCATCATCTTTTGGTTCACCTAAAATCAGCGCAGGTAATTGGTGATGAAGGAAAAAATCCATAGTAACAAAAAATGGGGGAAGAAGGATAGAAGACGAGTATGGTCATGTGTGTTGCTTAAATTTAAACCATAAACCTTATCTTGCTATGAGAAAATAAAACCAGTGCTGACGGCATCATAAAAAAGTGAGTTAATATACATATGGTAATTAGAGGCATGCAAGTGTCATGTGTACTGTATAATTTTCAAGTCAGCAAAGACATGAATTACAATCTAACAAACAGCTTTTCTATTTAACAATAAGAGATTAGTAGTAAAATGCAGGCGCATACAAGTGAAAAAATAAAGGCACTGGACATGACAAACTCTTGCATAGCCAAGATCGTGAACTAGCATTGCTTACAAGCATTATGGGAAGAATGAAAACAAAAAAGAATAAGAACCTACAATATAAGTCTATGATGAATAGTTAGTTGACGTCAATCAAGAGAATCGAGTCATTTCAAGGGGCAATATTTTACAATGTGGAATCAATAATTATGACCACATAAAATTTCTTAATTATCTCTACACTAGAATGTTAAAAACTTACTGCATGGTACTATCCTATCTTTTATTTTATTTTTTTTATTTTATTTTTTTTATTTTTGAGTAAACTGCACAATAACCTGTGTTTGTGTTATGTTGTGTTTTGTGTGCGCGTGCATGTATATGATGTTAGACATGGAAGAGCAGACTTTCTAAGCTAAGTGTTATGTTGTGTTTTGTGTGCGCGTGCATGTATATGATGTTAGACATGGAAGAGCAGACTTTCTAAACTAAGTGTTATGTTGTGTTTTGTGTGCGCGTGCACGTATATGATGTTAGACATGGAAGAGCAGACTTTCTAAACTAAGTTTACCCATATTGGAATCATAAAAAACAAAAGCAAGTGCCGACATGCAGAAATTCTTAACTTCATGATGCAAGGCTAGAGAATACATGGCCAAAATCTCTACTCCAATTTACGGAATAAACAGACCACAAAACTAAAACTGGATTCCATTTATTTACCAACCAAAAGACAGAATCATGAAAACATATAGAAATGGAGAAATTAAAGCACCTCGGGCCGATTCTTTATATTTTTTGCTCTGTGAGCGTAATCTAACGTACTAAGGGTCTCTTCCAAACAGTGCACAGATGGTGAAACAGTGGCTATTATGCAAGTCTTGGTCCTTCCTCCTAGTGAATCACGAAGCAACCGAGTAAGCTTGCTGTCCCTGCATGATCAATAGACCTTCAACACTGAATTCAAATGACGAGCTTACCAATAAATTTGAAGTGACCAAACCACAGATAACAGGTTTATGGGGCAGATAACAAACCTGTAGGGAATGTGCCCAAGGTGTTCCACAAGAGCAGTAATTACACGTCCCAACGTGAGTAGACTTTTGTTTATTTCCCCAGCTTCTCTTGCACGACCCTTAGAGAAAAATATTAAACAAAATGTCTCAAGCAAGGCAAACTTAATAGTCCAAACAAAATAGCATAGCGACTAGAGAATCCACTAGGTGCAGTTATCGAATAGTATAGTTATCTAGTAGGCGTACCTCCCTCGCCCCTGAGCGACAAATGTTCTCTGATCCGGCAAGATCAACTAGATTTAGCTTCCCGCATTTAATAAGTTCTTCTCCTTCTGGGGTGGCCTCTTTGATGTGTATTGTAATGGAAAATAGAGAATGTGACCGACTAAAGCAACAAGAAATAATCAGAATCAGAATAAAGTAACACCTAACAACTCAGAGTAAAGGAAACCATTAAGGAAAAGGGTACGAAATCACCTTGATTGTTTGTTCAATAAAGTCTCCGCAGTACGTCTCTTTGCTGATCCCCTCTCCAGAAGATAAAAGATTTCATTGGCACTTGTTACAATCTCTTCCTCGAGTCCTCTTACAAGAACACCCCCTTTACCATCCTCCATAAGTGGTAATGCCTTTTTCTGCTTTTCCTCCAAAACAACTTTAGATATCTCTTCCGGAGCAAGCAAATCAGTGATTTCTTCATTATACAGCTCTAAGAAAGTAACTTTTACACTATATTCAGCATTTTGACTTTCTAGGGTGTCAAATATCTGTTTCACAGCTCTTGGTATAACGCCTGCATCTGAAGGTAATTGACCATTTGGTCCACTCTGCAAGTATTATCGTAACAACATATTAGATTTTAATCCTATTATAAACAGAAACAATTGTGATTAAGGGGGCATGGAGCCTCCAATGAATGAGATATAAACAAAATAACCAAAAATAATGTTTGAAGAACAGGTAGAACTCACCTTAGATCTTCTACATTCACCTTCCATGGTATATGTCTTTCCTGTACCCGTTTGGCCATAAGCGAAAATTGTACAGTTAAAACCCTCCAAGACCTCATTTACAATAGGAATCACTGCTTGATCATACAAATCCCTCTGCTTTGCTGAAGGACCAAACACCTGTGTACAATGAATTCAACAAAGAGAGAAGCAAATCATCACATGTAGTTTATTATGTGGATCCCCAAACACAGTCCATGCATGAAGAATTTGGAGCAGTAAAAAAGTCTGGTAACTTGTTCTTAGATATACTAGTTTACAAAATTCATATAATTTCATTTCTCCTTGTGGATACATGCTTGCCTAGTTTGTCTGGAAATCCAAAATATTGTTCTCCATTCCACTGTAAGCATTTAATGCATGTTAAAATCGTTGTTTAAGATAATGTACTAATCTGCTAACTGCTTCTTTCATATCTAATTGTAACTGAAATATTCAATGTTTTGGTTTGTTAAAAAGAAAGTTAAAAAAATGCAACTTAACAGGCTATTGAGAATGAAAGTAAACTAGCAGCCTACAATTTTCTCATACAGATTTTACTGGTGCTAGTTCAAAACTGTTGGTTCTGTATCATACACAAAACACTTGCACTGTGATTCCCATAAGAGCTATAGAAGATAAAACCCTCTCCAAAAGGTAATCATCCTATACCAAACTTTCGGCTTCCATGATAAAACCCTTCAGTGAAAAAAACACTACTCTGAGCAACATTTGCAGTTTCTTGTGCACCCATGAAAGTGTGAACAAACATAAATATCTGAAAAGAGGTACATTTCTTATTTAATGATTGTTCTAGTGGTGGTTCCAGTTCATAACATGACAAATATCATCTAATCTAATTATTTAAACGACACAACTGGGCAAATTTTCAATATAACAAATGAATGGTAACGAACTAAACCCGAAAACCCTGGATGACACACAGGGACCTTCACAAAACCTAGTAAGGTCTATCAATTCGCTTCTTTCCAGAAAAGAAATGGCTAAAATCCTAGTTTAAAAAAAATCAACAGCTTCTTGTCATTTTAGTAAACTCTTATCCAGAAACGATCTCATGCTTGCTAATTTGCCCCGAATCGTTCATATAAACTTACTCAGATTACTTCATAGGGTATAAACGACAGAAAAGCCCCACTATGAAAATTTCGATGCTTTTTTCACCAAATCAAACCTAAAACCCTAGATTTACTTATTAATTACCTTGTCGAATGTAAAAATCCTATCAATCTGCTTCCCTGCGATCGTCTGAGACACCGCCACTTCCCTCTGGAAATCATTGCAAGTCACCACTTGCGGCGCGTTGTTCCGCAGCTCCTCATCGCTGAACGGCCTGAAAATTACCCCCAAGAAAGAGCATTCAATCCTCCAAAATTCATCAGAAATCGAAACCCTAACCCTAGCCCTAACTTTTTCGGCCAGGGTTTTCGCTGTTACCTGCAACGTAGAAGGACCTGGACGTTGACGGCCTTCTCTTTCTCGTGGCGAAACGACATCTTAGAAGAGACGGCGAAGCTTGGAGCGGCTCTTTAATGGCGGATCGAGATCAGATTAGTGAGATAAAATGGGAGTTTCTCTCTCTAAAAATTTCCCCTTTTTCTCTCTCCTCTGTGTTCTTTTGTTTTTTTTTTAGGGGTTCGTTTGAAATGGGAGCGGGATCGGCATAAAGCAATTTGAAATTTGGGGAAATGCGCGATGACCGTAGGATTTATTGCTTGCGGATTGGACGGTCGAGATGAAAAGGGTGGGATTATGAGTTGTTGGACGACTGTACCCTTATTTGATCGGAGTGGGGGTCTTTTATTTGGGACCGCGGGTGACGGATATTACACTTTTGTCCTTAGGATTTCAGAAATTACATATTTCCACTCTTTTTTTTTGTTTTTACATCAAAACCATCTTTACTTTTACCCAAACTGATACTTACTACCTTTAAATTTTTTTTTAAATGTAAACCACTTTTACTTGCTAACATGTTTGCAATGTCACATCTAATCCGGTTTCCAGCTGGAAAATACACGGAATGACCATTTTACCCTCACTATTTTCTTGTTTTTTCATCTCCTTCCTCACAAACCCTAACCTAGCCTCATCATCCTCCTCTTCTCCCCATCTTTCCTCTCATTCCTCCCCCAACTCCCCTCCACCTCTCTCTCGTCCTCCCTCTTCCTCCCTGACCTCCCCCTCTCTCATTCCTTCCCAAGTGGGAACTAGGATTAGGGTTAGGGTTTGGGGAAGGTCGCTGCCATGGATTAAGGTTAGGGCTAGGGTTTGTAGAAGAGGAGGATGAAGGAGACTAGGGTTAGACTTAGGGGTTGGAAGGAAGAAGAAGGGGTAAAATGGGAACACCTGATTTTTCGTGTGTGAACAGTAAAAATGTTTGACATTACAAACATATTAGGAAGTAAATGTGATTTGCATTAAAAAAAGTTTAAAGGTGATATGTTTGAATTGGGGTAAAAGTATATGTGGTTTTAATGTAAAAATATTTTTTCAGTTAATTATCAAGTACCTTCCCCTTAATAATCAATAGTGATAGAGTTACCAAATTGTACATGAAAATTAATTAATTAACCATTAACTTAGCTTTGGAAATTAATTTATGATTAATTTTGTATATTCATTAGCAGTTTACACCCATCGACTATTTGGTTAGCATTTTGTACCCCTCAATTTATCTCCAAATTTATCCTTCTAAAAATGACAATATATAAGTGCTAAGTGAACTTACAAGTTAAGGGGTTATCTGCACTTTACCTTTAAAAGATCTTCGTCTCCAATGACCATGTAACTAATAAACATTATGCTTTGTTAATTATGATAACTATATAAATGGTGCATAGTTAACTGGACAATAAAAAGAGTATTTCCTTAGAGAGCATTGTAGCAGTTAGAATAGTTATGAATCATTTGATTGTGGCTTCAACGTTAGCAGTTGAGAAACAATCAACCTTTAGATGCTGTCGCAAATTTGTCGCCTTTTTTAGAAAACATCCTTCCATATAAGTGCAACACAAATAATAAGAATATTACACATGAAAATAATTTTTTTTCATAGGTGTCTTTTCTTCCAATCAGGCCGCAAATAAATACAATCTACAACTAGGATTTTTTTTAAAAAAAAACAATCAAAGAAAGCTCGAGACCAACTCAAGCCTACGGGCTTGGAAGAATTTGCAGCGACCTTTGCCGCTGGATTCAATATCCTCGGTTTTCCTCTTGTACCCGGTGAACCCTACATTTGACAGTTTCAGCTGCCGTTTGCCATTCCCATTTCTTGACCCTTCTTCATCCTCTTTATCAGCCTCCCTAGAGCCACAAGATAACCATTACTTATTATCTCCGAAAACAATAAGTTCGATTATAGATAGTCAGTAAAAAGGCGACGGCGATCATAAACACAAAGACTTCATACCACATTTTTGGGATCAACTACATGTATCTTATTATTTCATATTGTTCTGTTACTGGTCATCTCCTTCGCTGAAGTTCTGATATCCTTTTTGAAGCAGGTTCTCTTACGACTTCTCCTATGTGTTAATTGCAGGTACGTCTCCTATGTGTTAACTGCAGATAGACCGCCTGCACCGTTGCCAAATTGCAGGTAGACCCCAGTACTTCCATTGTTACTGATAGACCCTCGGATTCTCAACTCCGTTAGTTTTCCCGTTTAAAGTAGTTATATGTGATGATTGTTATGGAGTTTACAGTGAGAAAATCAGTTTATGAATCTCATATGTTCCACTGTATGAAGCTCAATTTTAACATGAAACTAACAAAGTTGAGAATCCATGGGCCTATTTGCAACACTAGAGGTAGAGGAGGCCTATCTGCAATTTGGCGATAGTAAAGGGGTATATCTGCAATTAACCCTTCTCCTAGCTGGTGCAGTTTGTGACAAATTGTTGCCATTAGGCAGATGAGGAGTATTACTAACAAGGGGAGATATAATGACGCAGATAATACACCACTGTTTCCATTAATTAGAAGAAAAAAAGAAAAGAAAAGGAAGTCTTAGAAGCCAAGGCAAGCTAGGAATTTGTTATGAATGTTCAATAACTGATGATGAAAAGCTTACCAAAGAACCTCAACAGAATCTTTGAAATAGGGGGTGCATGTACCCCAACTGAAACGCACCAATGTGGGAAATCCAAACAAAGAATGCTTGTGATGCTCCAACCAAGCTTTAGTCTCGGGATCTGCTCATAAGTTTCATAATAATTTCATCACACTAAAATGATTCTAAAGACCAAAAACACGAAGGAACAGAAGTACAAGAAATAATGAGGAAAAAAACTGTAGATATACATATACATATCTAAGGATTATCTACCTCCTGGATATCCAGAACCAAAGTTCGTGTGCATGTTGTCAGCAGTTTCATCAGGGACCCAGTCACGCAAAGCCCTGTCCCTAGTAACCTACATTAGAATGTCCCTATCATCAAACTTGAGGGTGCGCATATGTGCACACGAGGATACAAGCATATCACGTTATTTGCAACATTATCAGTGTATTCTAACAATACTTTTTCTTAACAAAGAAGCAAATCAATAACTCTTCATGACTAACTGAGGTTCATTGCAATCTTTATTTCCCATTGACAGTATCAATGTTAGGAGATTTGTGTCGGTCTTAATAATTTTGGATGGGAACAACGAGTGCGCGGAATGAGTTAAATTAATCTCAAAAGTCCTATTCATCAAAAAAAAAAAAAATCTTTATCAATATAATACTCATAAATGAAATCAGTATTTCAAACCTTGGATCACATAGTTTACTCGCTATTAGCAAATATCAGTTTGCATTAGTTAATATTAGTCATATTGGCAGTAGTAGAGGGTTTCATCTGGATTGAATCAAAAGCTCAATAGAGTATTGTTTACATATATGTATGAGCCAATACTTCAAACCTTGGTACTAACAAAATATTAGATGGTGGTTCGGGGCAGTATCATCAAAGAAGTATCCCTTGTGTACAGTCCATAAAGCCTCCAAGGGCCACAATTAGTGTAACTTCAACTGTCAGTTAAGTCCTACATATGTTGTAACATGTAGAACTTGTGTCGCTTTCCGATTAATTTGATTTCTAAACTATGACAATCTATTTTTTTAAGCTAAGCTTTCTAAACAAGCCAGAGAAATCTTCACAAGATCATAGGCTATGAGATTTAACTATACTCACCTTTGCGACTATGCTTGCTCCACTAACTACTGGATAGAGGCTATCAGCTTTTTTGGAGACCACAAATTTCACACCTGGAAATATTTCCGATAGCTTAATCTGATACTTCTCTGCATCTCCAACAGTATCCACATACACCTTGTTAAGAAATTATGAGAATACAGAATGTCAGTGAATGAAAAGGGAAAGAAAAATGTTCAAATGTGAATTTAGGAAAAGCAGAGATTTTACCTCAGTTAATAACACGCCCATATTAATAACCCTCCTGACAAGGCCAATAGCTGAATTATGAGAAATTTCATTCAAGTTAACTTTTAACCTGTCATCAAGAAACATGAATCTTGATTTAGAAGGTCCAATTTGATGTTAGAGAGATATTGGTTATTCACACAAAACTAACTTTCTTAACATCTTAGCTGACAGCTCCCTTGGGTCTATGACATCAACTTCCCATCCAATACAATTATCCACTTTCAGATTTTCAAACAACTCTTCCCGTTTTTCCTCTTTCAGAGTCTTTGAATCTGCACATCAAGAATATAGTACAATGACATGAAGTAACAAGTTAGGGGCCATGTAAGTTCTTTTGATTGCAACAATCTTCAACTTAAAAGCCAAATGTAACTTAAGTCGATGATCTATACTCCATACATATTAGGCTGCTAGGCGATCTTTAACATTCACATGAATTTAGTATACAAGGTCTAGAAGTGTGAGGATCTGTTCTTTGGCCACAAATTTATGCAAGTTTTGTGGCCTTCTTATGTAAACACTCAATAGATGATATTCCAATGACCTAGTTATTTGTTCCATTCATTTGATTCATTCAGTGTTGCATGTCTCTGGGTCATAGGCATGCACATGTTTCTATTAATTTGTTCTTCAACAAACTTGTGGCATTGAGCTCATTTATAGTTTGAACGACAGTGTCTCTTCCGCTCAATTCATTAATCAGAAACTTAAGAAGCTGTGATGGCTCATGATTTTCATCAGCAGTGTCATTGAACTTCAAATAAGTGCACTACAAAAAAAACAATGTTACATTTATAAAGTACTATCTATTAGGTCTCATGTTTATGAGCCTATTGTCTAATCTAGTTTTGATGATTAACAAACAATTCCTAACAACGTTTGTTGAGTGTTTGTGTTTGCTTGTTAGGTATTCTACACAAAGATCCTGAGTTGAAGGTTGGATGGTCTTGCGCTTTCACGATCATATTCAAAGGAGGTTGGAAGGAAAACGGAATAAAACCGTCGCAATTCAAGTCAAGATTTATCATCACTTCATCCGCAACCAAGACGAACTAATTAAAGATCTATTACTTGGGTATAGTAGTTTAGATTTATACTTTGTGTGTTTACACTTAGAGCTCAAACCATACACACACATTTTATTCGTTTTCATTGTTTTACACATTTGTTTCATATTTATCACATTATACATCTTTTTGGGAAAATTGCATGTTTACGGATTAAAGACTTGATTATACTATTTTACATCTTTTATAAAGTCTATTAATCCACTCAAAAGAAGTTTTAAACTTGTTTTAAATCATTTTGTCAAAATCAAGTGTTTTGAGATTTCGTATTTTGAGTGATTTTGCAAATAATAAGTTTTCACAAATGGGAAATGATATTTTAAAAATTTCTTTTCTAACATGTTTATATTCATGTATATATATAAACATTTTCTCAAGTTTCATAATTTTTGAAATTTATTTGCTATTTTTAAACACCCTTTGAAAATTAATTTTTCTATTCAAAATTGGGTTGTGCATGTTTATCAGTCGACCGACACTGTTCATCAGTCGATTGATAAACTGCTCTGTAATTGCTAAATAGTTTCTGTCCAGTCGATCGATCTCCATCAGTCGACTGAACAGTGTTTTCAATCGACCGATGACTTGCATCAGTTGATCGATAAATTATTCTGCATTTTCAGTTTAGTTTCTGCTCAGTCGACCGATCCTTATTAGTCGACCGAACAAGCCTATCAGTCGACCGATGAGATTCATCAGCGACCGACGGAGTGTTGATTTTTCAGAACTTAGCTAACGGTCATCTCATCAGTCGACTGATGCTCACCATCAGTCGACCAACGACACTACAACGGCTAGTTTTTTGTGTGCTTTGTTTTTGAGAGTATAAATACCACTTCTTGCATTGGCTTTTTAAATAAGTTTTTCAAGGGTTTTCACAAGAATTTCAAGAGTTGTTTTTCAATATGTTTCCATGTTTTAAGTGGGTTTGTTTTGTGTGAAAAGAGTTCACAAAGAGAGAATAGAAATTTCATCAATGAGGCATCTCAACCTCAAATCTAGAATTCTCTTTGTTTTTAGAGAAGTTTTCTAAACTCAATTATCTAGCTTGTTGATATTTCAATTGTTATATTTATATTTGCTAGATTAATTCGAGTTTGATTTTATTTTACTTATTGATTTCATACACAACCTTTTTTAGTTCAAGTATTTTCACATATTGTATACTTGGGTTGTGGGAGTGTATTTTTGAGTGAGCTTCAACTTAGTTCTCATCTTTGTATTAGAGAACAAACAAATTTATTTGTGCATTATTGTTGAGAACACGTTATAATATACAATGACACTTAGACGAGTGGTTAGGAGAGACCGTGGTCAATTCCAAAAGGAGTGGCGTTGGTTGTAAAGCCTAGAGAAATGTAGTAATTCCAAGCACTTGAGGAAGGTGACACAGGTAGGCCAACACTTAGAGTAGTGTCTTATGGGATTGACAACGTGTGATTTGTAAATGTTATCGGTGAGCGTTGAAAATTGATTTGTATAGTTATTTTTGTTGTGATTACTGATTAGTGGAGAATCTCCTTGAGGCTGAGGAGCGGAGACGTAGATCGAGGGTGACTGAACTCCGTGAACATATTCTTGTGTTTGTGTTTGGCATTGTCGTACTTATCATTGTCTCATTGTTTATATCCCCTATTGCTTATTGTATATCCTTGCATATTTCATTGTATATCACATTGTTAGGATATATTAGATAATAAGTTTTATTTTGATATTAATTTTAGATTAGATTAGCAATTATCCTATTCCCCCCCCCCCCTCTCCCCCTCTAGAGTATTTTCACTATCTTAACTTGTAGATAGTCATTCAGTGTGTTTTCACACAAGTTCAGCATTTCAAGTATATATTTTTCTCTTGAGATGAGACTTCATGTATGTACTTATTTTGATAGCGTAAATGTTTAATAGCTAGGAAAGTACATGTGTTGTATGCTATTAAAAATTGACAAGATGCATGCTTAAGACATTTCTCGGACGAAAAAAAAACCTTTCTCATGGCTAATGAAAATATCGAAGCATTATTAAGTTAGCTAAGGGGTGAGACTCTGTGATCGAGAAGAAATAAAGAGAGACAAAGCAGGTTACCAGGATAATTTAAAATTCACCAGAAAAGTAGTTAGTCTTCACTTAAAGCGAAAGTCCTTTGATTTCACGGACGCAAGATACAAAAGATTTGGAAACATGGACTTCAAAAAGCAAATAACTTGAGTGCTCTCTTTTCTTCGTGGACTTCTCTAGCGAGCACTCTGTTAAAATTTATTTAAGAAGGGTGAAAAGTATAAAAAAAACTTACCTTACTGTTTTTCCTTAAAACTCAATCTGATACTAAAGCCTAAGCAGCTTTCTTAGGTATAACTTCTGAGACAAACGAAACTATATGCTTAAATGACTGTGAATCAAGAAGAGGGTTAGAAACTCTATAAGTATTATTCTGGACAAAATGCTTACACTAATGTCAAAAAAGAAAATCCAGTGAAAGGAGACAATGAGAAACACTTGATTTGGCTCTTCTTCTCCATGTTCGACAACAAATTTCATTAGTTACCCTTTCTGGAAGCTTCTTTCTCTCTCCTTCAATCCTCATCAATGAAAGTGTTCCTTAGGTTTAAGCATTTAACTGCAATGCGAATGGTAGTTTAATTTTTTTAAAATCAAAACCATTTTCATACCAATTCGTATGGTGATTTAATTTTTTAAACTACAATGCAAATGATAGTTTAATTTTTGAAAAAAAACATTTTCTCATACCAGTTCCATTTTTGGAATTTCAACCTATAATCTAAGAAGCAAATGGTAAGGAACAATTCCTCGATACAATCAAGCTAGATTTTGAAACACAATTAATACCTGAGTTATCAAAAGAACCAAAATTTGTGAAAAAGATGACATTTTTATGGTCTAATTAGGGCTGACCTGCAAAATTTAGGTTATTAAAAATGTTACATTAATATTTTTCTCCATGTCTCTTCCACTAAATTCATTAATCAGAAATTTAAGAAGCTGTGATGGGCCTGATGGCTCGTGATTTTAATCAGCAGTGTCACTGAACTTCAAATAAGCGCACTACAAAACCAAAATAAAAAAAACAATGTTACATCTAAAGTACTATCTTAACTTGTAGATAGTCATTCAGTGTGTTTTCACACAAGTTCAGCACTTCAAGTATATATTTTTCTCTTGAGATAAGACTTCATGTATATACTTATTTTGACAGCGTAAATGTTTAGTAGCATAGGAAAGTACATCTGTGTTGTATGCAATTAAAAATTGACAAGATACATGCTTAAGACACTTCTCGGACGAAAAAAAACCTTTCTCGTGTCTAATTTATGGTTTAATATTTTTCTCCATGTCTCTTCCACTAAATTCATTAATCAGAAACTTAAGAAGCTGTGACTGCTCGTGATTTTAATCAGCAGTGTCACTGAACTTCAAATAAGCACACTACAAAACCAAAAAAAACAATGTTACATCTGAAGTACTATCTTAACTTGTAGATAGTCATTCAGTGTGTTTTCACACAAGTTCAGCACTTCAAGTATATATTTTTCTCTTGAGATAAGACTTCATGTATATACTTATTTTGACAGCGTAAATGTTTAATAGCATAGGAAAGTACATCTGTGTTGTATGCTATTAAAAATTGACAAGATACATGCTTAAGACACTTCTCGGACGAAAAAAAACCTTTCTCATGGCTAATGAAAATATCGACGCATTATTAAGTTAGCTAAGAGGTGAGACTCTGTGATCGAGAAGAAATAAAGAGAGACAAAGCAGGTTACCAGGGCAATTTAAAATTCACCAGAAAAGTAGTTAGTCTTCACTTAAAGCGAAAGTCCTTTGATTTCACGAACGCAAGATACAAAAGATTTGGAAACATGGACTTCAAAAAGCAAATAACTTGAGTGCTCTCTTTTCTTCGTGGACTTCTCTAGCGAGCACTCTGTTAAAATTTATTTAAGAAGGGTGAAAAGTATAAAAAAAACTTACCTTACTGTTTTTCCTTAAAACTCAATCTGATACTAAAGCCTAAGCAGCTTCCTTAGGTATAACTTCTGAGACAAACAAAACTATATGCTTAAATGACTGTGAATCAAGAAGAGGGTTAGAAACTCTATAAGTATTATTATGGACAACATGCCTACACTAATGTCAAAAAAGAAAATCCAGTGAAAGGAGACAATTTGAAACACTTGATTTGGCTCTTCTTCTCCATGTTCGACAACAAATTTCATTAGTTACCCTTTCTGGAAGCTTCTCTCTCTCCTTCAATCCTCATCAATGAAAGTGTTCCTTAGGTTCAAACATTTAACTGCAATGCGAATGGTAGTTTAATTTTTTAGAAAACATTTTCATACCAATTCGATTGGTAGTTTAATTTTTTAAACTACAATGCGAACGGTAGTTTAATTTTTTAAAAATCATTTTCTCATGCCAATTCCATTTTTTGGAATCTCAACCTATAATCTAAGAAGCAAATGGTAAGGAACAAGTCCTCGATCCAATCAAGCTAGATTTTGAAACACAATTAATACCTGAGTTATCAAAAGCACCAAAATTTGTGAAAAAGATGACATTTTTATGGTCTAATTAGGGCTGACCTGCAAAATTTAGGGAAGAGAGAGTCTTCTGATAAGAGCAAGCACAGTACAAGCATCCGTACACCATCGGACCTAGAACAGAGCTCATTGGATAAACGAAAAATTCATAGAAACGATGATTTATTCCCAAATAAGTGAATTAAAAAAATTTTAAAAATTGGGGAGCAAAAGATTGAAGAAGAAACCAAGAACTGGGCCTCTTCCAGCCTCGTCGATGCCCATGATGCAGGGCTCCGATGCCCATTTCGGTAATGGAGCTGAACCCAAGATCAGAGCAAACCCTAGAATTTTCCCGCCAAGAGCGTGAAGAGGGGAGAATCTGATATCAGAGCAAACCCTAGAACTTTCCCAGCCCCTCACATCGCTGATATTTCAAATATACACCCTCAAATAATATAACTTGCTATTAGCTCCCCAAAGCTTATAAGTTGGTTTCAATTACTCCCTCATTTAGGATTCCCGTCCAACGTGTTAATCTAGTTAACTTAAAAATTTTAAGTTAAAAGGAATATTACCTTCAAATCAAACAGTAGAAAGTTAGATGAACTATTTGAAACAATTTACAAGATTCAGTAACCTAACCAACTAGTGTGTTCCCTCTACAAAGCATGGCCCCCCTGTTTTCTTTAAAATACATTATCAACATGCCTCCCTCTAAGGTTTAATACATTTGATTTGATTATTGTATGCTTAAAATTAAAAATCATATCTCTTGCTATATACTTAAATGAGTATTGTTCATGATACAATATATGCTGTAGCATGAATAGTGAATTTACTTCTTTAAGCTTACCGGAGGACCCAAAGATTTAGGGTTATTTGTTTCACCAAAAATTTTGACATTTGGTATGGATTACAAGTTTTGTGATCAAAAAATGAGTTTTTTTGTATTTTAGGATTCCATATATGATTTTTGTTTTAAGAAAATTTTTAGAATACTGAATACCAAAAGTAAAAAAGTGCCCAATTTTTAGAATTTGACAAATCCTCTCAATCGGAGAGAATTTTGACAAATCTCATAAATAGGCGTGCTTACCTCTCAATTCGAGAGGATTTGACAAATCCTAATTTTGTCTTTTTGTGGGAGGTAACCTCACCAAGATAGTATATTATTCATCATATTACAAATTTTTAACATTTGGTAATGCTACAATTTGAGCTTGTAACAAACAAAATATTACAAATTGTAGTATTCCAAATCCCAAAATATTAACAAGCAACATATTAGAAATCCCAACTCATAACAAAACACCTATGAATTTTAAATCCTATGGTGAAATTCATATCCTAAAATTATAGGATTTGAAACAAACACCCCCTTATTGTTTATGCTATAGTAATTTACTGTGGTATAAACACTGAACTTTTGAATCCTAACTTTAATTATAGAAAAGTAGATTCAAAATATTAAAAATGTAAAGGCCCACCACCATCAAGAAAATCCTAATTGTCCTTTCTTTCTTATGCATGTTCTCTTGTTTTTACCATGGTCTATTGTTTCTTAACCATAGTTTATTTATTTGTCAAAAATCCTTCTTTCTTGAGAATAATAAGGTCACTTCAGCTGATTTATTAAGGGAAGTAAATAAAGAGAAAGTAAAAGTAGTACTGGTGGAGAGGTAGTTTTTTTTACAAGTTATAGTTGGGTGAAGAAAAGTAAGAAATAATAAAAAAATTAAAATAAACCAATAATTATATGGTTTATAGTAGCAGTAAGAAGTTCAGTAAGCAAACTATAATTCCACACATTTTTAGCCTCGTTTGCTTCTCAGCATTCAAATCAACAAAGGTTCGTAGGGAGGAGAATATTCAACCACAATATCGCATAATAGACAAGATTGAGGAACATGTACTCCATATTTCACGAACATTTTCTCTACGGGGTGTTAGTCAATTGGAACATTTTCATACAAAATAGGATAATTATTAAAGTGGGGAAATTTTTCGCTAGTGGAATATTTTAGTAGGATAAATAGGAACAATTTTGTGAAGCGGGATATTTTGATAAAATAACGCGGGATAAATTTTTAAAATCATGAAATATATATTTATGCATTTTGAAGATATAAATGCTATTTATGTATTTTAAACTTACTATTGTTGATTAATAATTGCTTACAAGAATGTTCTTTACTATTAAATAACTTTTGGTTAGACTATAATATATTAACAATTATTATTATAATAATGGTCTAATGATGGTGATAGCCATAATAATAAAGAAGTAAATAAAAAATAAATATAAAAAATAAAAATAACAAAATAAATATGAGTTCTAGTTTTTGACCACCTAGTTCCATGCTAAAACTTGGAATAATTTGAGAGACTAGAACTCTCGTTTTTATATAGAAAAATGAAAAAAGTTGGAGAATTTTGTACCATTATCTCAATTTTAGTTTTATTAGAGTTCTACTTGACTAATACTGTAAAATTTTGTTCTAGTTTTAGTTTTATGTAACTAACACCTTAAAAATTCATCCCACAGATTATCCCGATTCTAATTTTAAGTTCTCCCTTAGAACTAAAAAAGCCGAAATTGCTTTAATTATCAGATCAAAAAAAATTGATTCCTTCTTTAATTAGGACATGAAGAAGACGAGTTATAGACTCAACAAACTCAACGAGTAGCGGCAGGACCTTGGAGAAATTCTATGGCAGATGCCATGTAGGATTATGGAAGTCGAGTCACTCTGGGGATTTAGATTTTTATTTAGTTGAAAATTATTTTATTATTTGAGATAAATAGTGATTATTTATTGCTTTATATTTATAGTTATTACTAGACTAATCAATCTTATATTATTTTTAATATATAATTATTAAAAATAGTAATATATATTCACCATTACCCCCACCAAATTATACAACTTCATAATATTATTCACCATTATCCCACTAAATTATTCTACCAAATTATTCCACTCCAAAAATTATTCATCATTATTCCATTAAATTATCCTAGTGTCAAAAAAGTATCACACTTTACCAATTATCCCAGTTCAACTAAAAAAAGTTCTAGATGACTAACCCCCCCTAGAAATTAAAAAGCCGATATTGCGTTAATTATTAGATCAAAAAAATTAATTCCTTCTTTAATTAGGACATGAAGAAGATGAGTTATAGACTCAACAAACCCAACGAGTAGCGACAGGACCTTGGAGAAATTCTATGGCAGATGTCATGTGGGATTATGAAAGTCGAGTCACTCTAGGGATTTAGATTTTCATTTAGTTGGAAAATATTTTATTATTTGATATAAATAGTGATGATTTATTGCTCTATATTTATAGTTATTACTAGACTAATCAATCTTATATTATTTTTAATATACAATTATTAAAAATAGTAATATATATTCACCATTACCCCCACCAAATTATCCTACCAAATTATACAACTTTATAATATTATCCACCATTATCCCACTAAATTATCCTACCAAATTATTCTACTCCAAAAATTATCTATCATTGTTCCATTAAGTTGTCTCAGTGTCAAAAAAGTATCACACTTTACCAATTATCTCAGTTCAACTTAAAAAGTTCTAGATGACTAACCCCCCCCCCCCAAATCCAAATAGAAAATAGAACTTAAAAAGCCGATATTGCTTTAGTTATTAGATAAAAAAACTGATTCCTGACATGAAGAAGATTAGTTATAGACTCAACAAACTCAACGAGTAGTGGCAGAAACTTAGAGAAATTCTATGGCAAATGTCATGTGGGATTATGGAAGTTGAGTCACTCTAGGGATTTAGATTTTCATTTAGTTGGAAAACATTTTATTATTTGAGATAAATAGTGATGATTTATTGCTTTATATTTATAGTTGTTACTAGACTAATCAATCTTATATTATTTTTAATATACGATTATTAAAAATAGTACTATATATTCACCATTACCCCCACCAAATTATCCTACCAAATTATACAACTTCATAATATTATCCACAAGTATCCCACCAAATTATCCTACCAAATTATTCCACTTTAAAAATTATCCATCATTGTTTTATTAAATTGTCCTAGTGTCAAAAAAGTATCCCACTTTACCAATTATCCCAGTTCAACTTAAAAAGTTCTCGATGACTAACCCCCTCCCCCCTAGAACTTAAAAAGCTGATATTGCTTTAATTATTAGATCAAAAAAACTGATTCCTTCTTTAATTAGGACATAAAGAAGATGAGTTATATACTCAACAAACTCAACGAGTAGCGATAGGGCTTGGAGAAATTCTATGGCAGATGCCATGTGGGATTATGGACATCGAGTCACTCTAGGGATTTAGATTTTTATTTAGTTGGAAAATATTTTATTATTTGAGATAAATAGTGATGATTTATTGCTTTATATTTATAGTTGTTACTAGACTAATCAATCTTATATTATTTTTAATATACAATTATTAAAAATAGTAATATATATTCACCATTACTCCCACCAAATTATCCTACCAAATTATACAACTTCATAATATTATCCACCATTATCCCACCAAATTATCCTACCAAATTATTCTACTTCAAAAATTATTCATCATTGTTCCATTAAATTGTCCCAGTGTTAAAAAAGTATCACACTTTATCAATTATCCTAGTTTAACTTAAAAAGTTCTAGATGACTACCCCCCGAACTTCAAAAGGCCAATATTGCTTTAATTATTAGATAAAAAACTGATTCCTTCTTTAATTAGGACATGAAGAAGGCGAGTTATAGACTCAAAAAACTAATCAAGTAGCGGTAAGACCTTGGAGAAATTCTATGGCAGATGTCATGTGGGATTATGGAAGTCGAGTCACTCTAGGGATCTAGATTTACATTTAGTTGAAAAATATTTTATTATTTGAGATAAATAGTGATGATTTATTGCTTTATATTTATAGTTGTTACTAGCCTAGAAAATATTTTATTATTTGAGATAAATAGTGATGATTTATTGCTTTATATTTATAGTTGTTACTAGCCTAATCAATCTTATATTATTTTTAATATACAATTATTAAAAATAGTAATATATATTCACCATTATCCCTACCAAATTATCCTATCAAATTATACAACTTCATAATATTATCCATATATAAGTATCCCACCAAATTATCCTACCAAATTATACAACTTTATAATATTATCCACCAGTATCCCACCAAATTATCCTACCAAATTATTCCACTTTAAAAATTATCCATCATTGTTCCATTAAATTGTCCCGATGTCAAAAAAGTATCCTACTTTACCAATTATCCCAGTTCAACTTAAAAAGTTC